GACCCCGAAAGCATGGGAGCAGCCCTGTGCCCCAGACCTTTGTGGGGTGGTGGTGGTGGGGTGAACTTCCTCCTTCTTCCGCTCCCCCTCGTGTGTTGTGCCCCCGAGCTCTGTGGCCTGCAATCCGAGGAGACAAGGGCCTTTTGGGGTTTTATACATTTTATTCGTACATTTCTCCAACTTTGAAATGACAAAAGCCCAATTCTATGGTTTCCCATTACACAGCATCCTACAGGTATGTATATTCTACAAAGAATACTATGGATACTCTCTTCCTCCCCCATCACACGAGATCACTGATTAGGGTTCCATGGACGTGGCCCGCGGGCCAGGGCACCGTGACCGGTGGCTCTGGCGGCAGGCGGGGGTCGGGGCGGGAGGGCGTGTGCTAAGGCATGTAGATAGATACACACAGAGAAAGAAAAGCAGGACATTTACAGAGAACCGGACCTTTCCGACCCGCCCCCCGCGGGCGCTGGAGGGCGCCCCTGCACAGACGCACTGGCACGCTAAGGCTTCGCTGGACCCTGCAAATACTTACAATTGGCTACGGTGAGATATACAACAACCATGAACATCGCTCTCTTGATCACTGAGACAATACTTCACCACCTTTTATAAAAAGGCAATTATACACACAGAGAAAAGAACACGTCGGCGGAACTGTAGGCGACACAACCCGAGGCCGGGGGCTGGCTGGCCCCGCGCCTGCATCTCCAGGGGCCGCAGCCCCCCGCCCGCCCCCCACCCCCGGCCCTCCAGGGCACGGCCGGGACCGGACAGCAATGCCCCCGGTTCCTGGTCTCTCCAAAATGAAAAACAAAACAAAGAAACAGGTAGGGCGACTCGCTGCGGAGGAAGGCCTGTTGTACTGGGCCCCGCGCTGGCCGCACCCGGACCTCCTGGGGAGGAAACTGACACGGTCCCTGGGTCACGTGCCCGAGAGACTGGAACTGACACACACGCGAGTGGCAGCCAAGGTCTCCCGAGTCGTGACAAATCTTTCCGTTTTCTGTTGCTCGGTCCATTTGCACAGGTTGGAGGTGATGGAGGGGCAGGGGAAGGTGCTGGGTGCTGGCTTTGCAAGGCCCCCCAGGAGCGAAGGGTGGGCGCCCCTGTGAGAGGGGGTGCGGGCCCCCCTTCTGCAGCCGCGGGGCAGAGGAAAGCCAGCTCCCAGGGATGCTCTCCCGCTCCCCGCACACGCCACAGCCAAACCCACTCGCTGAGCTGCAGACCCGCACCCCCAGCAGCTCCAAGCTGAAGGCCAACGGCTGGGTGAGTGCGGCCAAGCCGCCCCAGCGCGCAGCCTCCTGGGCATGCGCTCCTGCAACCGAAGAGCCAGAATGGAGAGGAAAACCTCCCTTCTCAAGGGGCGAGAAGAGGCAAAGGTCAAAGGTCTGCCCAGGGGAGGACTCCCGCTGGAAGCCTGTAGCGCTTAGCGCACAGTCTGTGGAAGAGGAGGGCTCCCCAAGAGGCCAAGGGCCAGGGCAAAGCGCTCAGTGGCCTTGAACCTCTGCCGCGCTGTCCTCAGCCTCGGGACAAGCCCTTGAGAAGAGGATGGAGCCAGGACGCTGTGTTCGGTTCTGGAAAAACCCTCACCTGCTCCCCCCCTACCCCCATGCACACACACGTGCACATACACACACACACACACACGCACACACCAGTTAGATGATAGGAAACAGGTGGAGAGATGGCCCTGAAATGAAGAAAAGGACATCGCACGGGGGACACAAGAGTTGGCGTGGGGCCGCCTGTCCGTGAGGGGCAGGGTCCTCTCTGCGCAGCTCCCTGTCCAGTTTCCCAAGCGGACTCCCCCGGCCACACTTCGCCAGCCAGCGAGGATCTGATGGAAAAGCCGGAATGCACTGCAAGTGATCTAGGGACTCCACGAAAGCGCCCTCTGCTGCAGGAATGAGATCAAGGATTTTAAAAGATGCAGAGTCCCAGCTGACCAGCTGGCCCAGAGTGAGAGGGGATTGGACTGGAATGAGGGCGCTTGCTGCCTCCGTCTGCCCCGGGATGACCTCCTTTTCCTCTCTGAGCACAGATTTTCAGCCACCTCACCTGACAGGAGGTTTTAGAAGGCTGCCACATCGGGTGACACCGGGAAATTCCAGATGAACTGAATTTCATTTTCCATTTTTTGTTTTAAAACGGAATGTGCTGCATGTGCAAGATAATTACTGCCTCGGGATTAAAAAATCACATCTCTTCTTTATGATGAATATTGAAAATATTAAAAAGACTCCACCCCCTCCCTTTTTTTTTTTTTTTTTGCTGTGGGGGCATGGGGTTGAGAAACCTCAGAATATGGCTCATGTGACGAAGATCTAGTATTCTAATCATTTGCTCTGGTATTTAAAAGGACAAAAGGTGATTTTGCCGATAGATGGGAAGCAATCAAGAAGCTTTTTAGCGATTTGCCCTGGCTGCTCAGTGGACAATTGTAATTCAGTGGCAGCAGCAACCTACTGGAATGACTCTGAAGTCAGCTATTTCGGTGTTTTCTGTTTGGTCATAAAGACACTGCTGGGGAGAATATGGATATCAGGGGGCACGGAGCAGGGGACCCCATGGAGAGGTCAGAGAGAATGAGTTCTGGGTGCAGGAATCCCCCAAGCACACAATGGCAAGAACAGAGCCTGCCTGTGTGAAGGACCATCCAGCCGTCCGCATCACCGGGGAGAGAGGACTAGTGCTACAGCCTTCTCAATCCGGGGACCACAGATGCTCCTCAGCTTGACATCACTGTTCTCTTTCTCTGCTTGATCCACAGTGAGCGACGTGGCATGGTCAGCATCTCTCACGATTTGGTCTGAAAGTGCAGGGAGGGCAAGGGGGTTTCTTCAGAGGAGTTGCTTCGCCCCAGGTGTTGGCGGGTTGCTTTTTTGTGCTTCATTGGAGAAGAGGTAGAGCGGGCCCTTGCGTGCTGAGAAGAGCCCAGATTGTAGTACCTTCAAGAGAATGATTATCTGGCCTTGGCATCGGTTAGATTGGAATCAATCCTAGCGCAGCCCTAAACAGCTCGTGGGGTTTCTCCTGCCATCCAGGATGTTGCGGCTACGGTGGTCTGGTCACCCTGCTACGGGGGCCCCAACAGAAGCAGCTCGCTCAACATCTTGTTGGTAATTTGCAGACTCATCTGGTCATGGACAAAGGACAACATCAGAGAGAAAAAATCAGCATCATTTAATAAGAGTATGTGGCGAGGGATGACACCCCAAAAGGAGTATACAAACGTCTTCTCTGTGTGGTCCTTCAAGAGAAGCTTTTCAGCTCAGAACGCACCCTGCACATCCTGCCAAAAGGCACAAAGCGATGAGGCCATCTAACTGTCAAGAAGCAAACACGATGGTGTTTTATTTTCAAGGATCTCAGGTTAATAGAACCACGTGACACACCCTGACGCTATCATGGAAAACCTTCCACTGACCTCTCTGGCAAGAGTCGAAAACCCCCAGCCCGAATCTGCTGTATCGGAAGGATGTGACCTCATGTAAGGGGGATGAGATGGTTAATGTCTCTACAGCAACAAGGACAGATGATTCTCCTGTGCCAAGGGATATAGCAAGAGGAAGGGAAACCATGGGACATGGTGGCCCTTGGGCGACCGCCAGGCATGGTCCGAGCTGTGCTCTGGCGGAGTGATTTGTTGTCCTTCCAAATGATAGTCGCTCCTGGACCTTTGATGGTTCAATGAGCATCTAATGAATTATAAAATCGGAAAGATTATCAGTTGTACATCTGAACAAATCTATAATGAAATGAAGGACCCAAAGGCTTTTAATATTGAACACATAAAAGGAAGTATATTTAAAAAACTTGGTCAAACTGTCCTGTTAGTTAGCATTTTAAAGGAATTTACAGGGCTGTTATAGATTATTCTTTTGGAATAACTCAGTTTATAGCAAATGCCTAAACTGGTTTCTTCATTGCACAGTATATTCTCTTAAAATGGGTGCTTTTAAAACAATGACATACATTTTAAAAATCCTCATTTCTTTGCTTAATTAAAACATTAATACTCTCAGACAACACAGATCTGAAATGGCGAAACCAGCAATTCCCCCTCCCACCTTACAACAAATTAAATTGAGACAAAATTACAAACACAGTTCACTATATGATTATTATTAATAAAAATCAGTCTTGTTTTTGTCGTGTTTTTTTTTTATAAAGTTGCCCGAAATGCAAGGGATGTGCATAGGTTTTACAACTTAGTCATAATAGCATCTTATTCTTATTCGCTGGGTGTGCCCCGTGAGCGGAATGTACTCGGCTGTAATTACAGCTTGCTTTGTCCAACACAGACACACCAACAGCATAAACGCTCGCGACTGTCCACATGCATTAAGAGTCAAGACCCAAGTTCAAATCTCTAAAAGGTTTACAGGGGGCTTCAAAGAGACAGTATCACATCATCTGGATGTTACATCAAGGACTTAAAAAAAGGAGACTACTCTAAAAAACGGAAGAGAAAAAAGGCCTTTAAAAATTTATGACTGTTTTTGTCATCACTAGACTGATTGTTTCAAATAAATAAAGGAAAGAAAGAGATTCCAATCCAGAAAATCAGACTCTAAAAAGAAATGTAGTATTCCACCCCCGGTCAAGGTAACAGAATCATTGTTTATTATTATTAAAATAGATTATAGAAAGCAGCATCTATTTTGTGCAGTTTTTAGGGGCCTTGGAAATAAAAAGCTATGATTTCAAAAAATATAACATTCCAAAGGATTGAATAATACATACATTTAAAGATACATTTTATTAAAGTTTAGGAGAACTGATTAAAAAAGATACTGTCTCTTTAAATTAGTGTGTAATTGTTTTTCTCCTCCTACCTAATTCGGACATGACAATAATTATAAATGTAGGTCACACTACAACTAGGTAGTCTCTAGGGACCACGACCTGCTGACACAAGGCCGATAACAAAGAGGCGTTTCCATGTGTGAGGTGGCTCCCAGGTCTGCGGCAGGTATCTGAGCACAGGCCTAATAGACCCAGGACACGGGGACCCACTGTGGGGCTGTGCACACGAGCTCCACGGCTTCCTCCAGGTGTCTGATTGTCTCATCAATTTCATTGTTGATAATTGTGAGATCGAAGTAGTGTGCATATGTTCTCTGTAAGATGTCAGACTCCTTCTGCAGGCGCTGAAGAGATTCATCCTGGATGGAGAGGGGGCGGGCAGGGGAGGAGGGAAAGGGAGAGGAGAGAGAAGTCAGCGCTATTCTTTTTCTTTGCGCGTTGCTTTTCGTCTCAGTGTCAGAAACAACCAAGGCCAGACCTCGATGTGCCGCCTTGGGGTACAAGGCCAGGTCCACTTCGTTGTCAGAGGAGACGAGGGCCAGTTCTGGGTCACAGAACTCCTGCTTGCAACCCAGACCGCTCACCATGCAGTGAAGAGTTCCACACCAAACCGGATGGACCAGAGAAAACACACACTCTTCAGCAAACACATTGCCCCCTGACCCCCTTCCATGCCTGGCTGTTCTATCCTCATTCCTCTGACCCAGCCCCCTCATCCCCAGCCTCTCTCCTGCTCCCCGCTCGGTGGGAGGGCTTTGGGGTGAGGGGAGCCCCTGCCTGGCTCCCCTCCGCACAACAAATGAAGTTGCATTTCCCTTCTTTCTACTTAGAGGCTCAACATGTTCTGGGAATTAAATTACATATAATGGCCTCACTCAGCAGCAGTGGATGCCAGAGGCGAAGCTTTCTGGCTGTTACAGATAATGGACGAAACGAGGCTATTTCCCAGATGCAACAGCGACTGGCATCTGATGAGTTGCCTCAAATTGGTCTGGACTGGAAATGTCACCATCTATAAGTATGTGCATCTCTTAGGCCCATGGTCGGCAAATGCGACTCGCGAGCCACATGCAGCTCTCTGGCCCCTTGAGTGTGACTCTTCCACAGAATACCACGGCCTGGGCGAGTCTATGTTGAAGAAGTGGCATTAGAAGAAGTTTAAGTTTAAAAAATGTGGCTCTCCAAAGAAATTTCAATCGTTGTCCTGTTGGTATTTGGCTCTGTGGACTAAGGAGTTTGCCTACCGCTTCCTTAAGGGGGAGAACTGAGGGAGAGGCAGCTGCTGAGCTCTAGGGAGTCTGACTCCTGGCAAGAACATCCCCTCCACTCCAGAGCTGGTGACAGACCAGGAGAACTGTCGCTGGCTGAGCCTGCAGCAAGGGGACATTCAGGGTCACGGTCACGAGAGTCTCCCGTTAGCCTCAGGGTGGTTCTTCTTTCAAGATAAGGGCCCCCTAAGAGTCACCAGAGAGTCCACCCCTGCGACTTTTGGACCATTCAATGTTGCAAGTTCAATGGACAAGTTCAGGTGTGAAGCCAGGGAACTTGCTCAGTCCCGTTAGCTGCCCCTTCTCCTCTAGCACTGGGTGGGCGAGCTGTTGGGGGGAGTCCCACAGCACACACAGATGCAATGAAACACCTGTTATCAGCTCAGTACCGTCCCCCCACTGAAGCCGCAAACGGGGTGTTCCTCCTCGCCGTGTCCTGGGCATTGGGCCTTGCATACAGTAAGTGCTCACTACATGTTATGGAAAGAACAAGCACTTGGCAGACTACTGCTGGCCGTGACCAGATGTGAAGAGTGCTGGCTCTGTACTGGGGACAGAGCAGCTCTCCCGGGACGTGGGCGCCTCTGATGACAGATGGCGCTGCTGGGGACTTGGGAGCATGGTGCTGCCTGTGGCTCAGGGCCCCCCTCTTGCCTGGGACCCTTCCTCATGGGCCTGGGGGGAAGGCTCTGGAAAGGGGACCCAAAGCGACACTCGGCTGATGGTGGCGAGCGGTGGGGAGGGACAGACACCAGGGAGGTGGGGAACCCCATCTTTTCCCCAGGACAGCCTGTGGGGGCCGCCTGCCTGTGTGCCTCCTCCTGCCAGTATGCCCTGGCGTGCCGGGACGCCAGGCGGTGGCTACTGAGGTGCTGATAAGACCTGGGCTCCTCGCCTTCTCAGGCCGCATCAGCACGCTTTCCGCTCGCACTTCAAAAGCATCGTGTTTTCACTGGGGCTTTAGTGACAACAAACGAGTGCGGGCTGCTGGGGGACAGCGGGAACTGGGCTTCCTGACCCCAAGCAGAGCCTCCGCCTTGCTGGGAAAGCTGTGAGAGGGCAGGGCGGGGTGAGGGGGCCTGCCCCCTCACCCTGCCCTGCCCTCTCAGCTGGGGCGCTGAGGACACCCCGGGGAGGCCAGGCCGAGAGCGTGGCCTCTGGCATGTGGTGTCAGCACAGGAATGAGCTCCCTCTCTGGCTCTGATGAGACGGAGCTGCATCTGTCACAGCTCCTGCCTCCAGGACAGCTCGCCGGGGGGCGGCCGGGCTGGGAGTGGGTCCCTCAGTGAAAACGAAATGCCTTTTGCGCAGCAGAAGCAGGGGCTGCGGGAGGGACCGCTACACCCTACACCCGCAGGTGAGCAGGCTGCACCGCATCACCTCCTGCTGGTACTTACAGGCAGCTTCCTGCACCATTTTGGCAGCTATGGAAATGGGCACAGGGCAGGGAGACAGGCAAAACAACAAAAACAAGCAAAGATGATGATTCAACAAAAACGCATGGCAATCCGAGGGGCAGCTGGAACCACGGTGCGCAGCTTCCAGCGCCTGCGTGTTAACCGGAGGGGAACCAGCCCAGGCTACAGAGGAACCCCCTCTGCAGAGAAAACGGCCCCAAGTGATGGCTGGAGACAGAGGTCACACCGGAACCTCACCGTTTCCTCCTCCTTAAAGGCACAGGCAGCAAACATCCGTCAGCCCTGGTTTCACTGGGCAGAGCCTAGAGCCCCCTGGTGGCTGCCTCCCTGCAGAAGTGATGGGGGACTCAGGGCGGGAGTCTCCCCTTAAGAATGACCCTGGATACAGAGACTTGAAAGCATGGACAGAGTGTGGAACCTCAGAGGGAAGGCGGGGAGGGAGGGTGAGGGAGGGAGGGAATCAACCAAGGACCTGTGTGCATGTATGCACAACCCATGGATGCACAAAATGGGGTGGTGAGGGCCTGAGGAGGGGGCAGGGGTGGACTGGAGGGGGCAGGGGTGGACTGGAGGGGGTCATGGGGGGAAAGGGGGACATGTGTAATCCTTTCAATAATAATTATAAAGAAGAATGACCCACAGGTAAGCCCCACCACGGCTGCCTTCCTATCGGCCGGCCCCAGGGCCTTCCCAGCCGCCAGCCCGGTCTCCGAGGCCGCTGCTCACTTGTGTTGGCCTCACAGGGACTGAGCTCATCCCCGGGGACCGACTTGGCGGTTCTGCGTGAGTGCCACCGCAGGGGCTGCGGATGGAGCCCGGGAAGCCCGCCAAGGCCAGGCTGGCTGGGTACTGCCTTCAGGCAAGGCCATCCCTGGCCCAGACCTGGGCCTGGTGGCCGCTATGAGGAGGGGAGGGCGGAGGGGGTGCGAGCTCTTTAAAAGGACACCTATTGCCCTGGCCGGTGTGGCTTAGTGGATAGAGCATTGGCCTACAGACTGGAGGGTCCCGACTTCGATTCCGGTCAAGGGCATGTACCGTGGTTGTGGGCACATCCCCAGTGGGGTGTGTGTGTGTGTGTATGTACAGTAGGCAGCTGATTGATGTGTTCTCTATCCCTCTCCCTTCCTCTCTGTAAAAAATCAATATATATATATATATATATATATATATATATATATATATATTATTGATTTTTTACAGAGAGCTAGAAACATCGACCAGCTGCTTCCTGAACATGCCATACCGAGGATGTGCCCGCAACCAAGGTACATGCCCCTGACTGGAATCTAACCTGGGACCTTTCCGTCGCAGGCTGAAGCTCTAGCCACTGAGCCAAACCGGTTTTGGCCAATAAAATATAATTAAAAAATAAAAAATAAAAGTCCACCTATTTAAAGTCTTTCAGAGGAGCCCATGATTGCCCTCATATCCAGTGGAATCCAATGAACAACATACACGGAGGGACGGAGTGGCCCATAGATGCACGGCCCATGGACACAGACAGTGGGGTGCTGGGGGCCGGGGTCAGGCTGGAGGGGGCCGATGGGGGAAGAGGCGGACATGTGCAATAGTCTCCACAGTATTTTAAAAACAGAAGAAATAACTGAAATAAAAGTAGGCTTATTGATCAGGCCACAGGGTGCCTGCCGGAGAGCAGGGCTTGGTCTGCCTCATGGCTGATCTTGGGGGAACACGCTTGTCTGGCCTCGTTCTTGACCCTGAATGAGGACCACACACCAGGGACATGGCCTTGGCCGCCAACATCGGGACGGGCCCTGGCCATGGGGGATGCGCGGTGGGGGGACACTGACCAGGTCTTACCTCATTCAAACCCGGGGTGATGGTCGGTGCGGCGATAAAAACAACAAAAGGAGCGAACTCGGCGGTTCTCAGGACCTTCAGCGCCTGCGTGAGAGAGACTGAGACTTAGGAGATGAAGTTCACCTTGCAAACGAGCCTAGAACTTGACCCAGCCGCAAAGGCGTGACCCCCCACTCCGGCCAGGGGTCTCACCAGGTGAGTGACCACCGCTACGAGCCCCCCTAGGACCCCTTGTCTCCCGAGGGTGAGGCGACAGCCTGGACATTTTTCTTACGCATCTCATGAGCAATCTGACCGAGCTGTTCAGACAAGTCAGCGCTGGTCGTGCTGCTGGGGGTTCGCTTTGAGCTGGCTGCTGATGGTGGCCGACACCCTAACGTCTAGGAGGGGCATTTTGGGGGAGCCTGGGACCGACCGACTGGCCTCCCCACCGATCCACAGCCCGCTCGCCACTTCTAACCCGAAGGTGCTAACAGGATGGGCAGACCATGACCCCTGGCGCTGTGAGGCCGTGTTCACGGCATATGGGTTGCCCTAATGAGTGCTGGGGGCTGGGAGGGGGATTGTGGGAGGTTGTGGGAGAAGACCCTGCTCAGAGCTGGGGTCTGGAGCCCCTGGAGCAGCTTGGGGCTATAAGCAGTTCACAGGCCCCCGAGGAGATGCTACATTCCAGGGCCTCCAAGCCCCTGCCAGCTTCTTTCCCTGGCATCCAAGCCCCTCACTGCTCTTTTCCGGGCGGACTGAGTAGCAATTAGACTCCTTTCTGCACCTGCAGTTCCCTACGTTCCAGACTCAACTGGGATGAAACGCCAGGCTCACCTGTCAGCCTGTCCTCCCTGCCCCGCCCCCACCTTGAGACTCCAGAGTGGGCCAAGCTCCGTCTGGCTTCCTGGCCTTTTCTTATGAGGCCCGTGCCTGGGCCTGCCACTCCTCGCCCCTGACCCCCCTCTCTCTTCTGTTTGGGTGAGGGTTAGCTGCACAGAGCATTGGTTTTATTTCCTTTCTGTCCCTCTCCCTGTCCCTGTCCTTCCTTCCTTTTTTGTTACTCCTCACCCGAGGATATTTCCCATTGATTTTTAGGGAGAGTGGAAGGGAGAGGGAGAGTCAGAGAGAGTCATCGATGTGAGAGACACACACCAATTGGTTGCCTCCTGCACAAGCACCCTGACCAGGGCCGGGGCTGAGGAGGAGCCTGTGACTGAGGTACATGCCCTTGACCAGAATTGAAGCCGGGACCCTTTGCTCAGCGACCCAGCCTGACAGCCACGCTGTTCTTCACCTGCTCCTGCCTCACACTCGCAGCAAACACGCTCCTCAGAGGACATGATCTCCCCGCAGACGGCCCTTCCCTGTGCACCACACACACACCTTGGCCTTCACCCATGCAGACACGGTCATCCTGCACTTCCTGCGTGAAACGGCCAACGCAGCCTGTGCCCATCACACGGCCAACGCCCCTTGTGCCTGAGAACCAGGCTGTATTCCTCCCGCAGAGCCACCCCGCTCTCCCTCTGTTCCTGAGGGTCTGTCCCGCCCTCTGCTTCCCTGATGGGTCTCAAGTGCTTGTCATTTGCTGTGCAGCCTCAGCTGGCCTGAGGTTCAAGGTCACTGCACAGAGATTCCCTCTCTCAGGCCTTGAATAGGCGACTTCCCGATGATCTGCTAACACTTTTCCTTTCTAACTTTAGATGAAACACACATTTGTTACTATTTCCAGGCAAATAGCTCTTTTTTGAACCCCGAAGAGGAGATGGAGTCTAGAAAGATCCCTGGAAACACACTGGATCCAAACAGCCAAAGTAACACAAATGTAGCATTTAAAGCGAATTCTTCAGTTCTCTTCTGGGGAGAGAAGCTGACTTTATGGCTCATCTATGGTCAATAATTAATCTCAGGTTACCCGTCTTCAAGGAATAAAAAACCACGTGACCAAGTACCATTTATTTGGTCTGCAACCTTAAAAAGTACAGAGGAGTGGGCCCTGAGTCATTTTGTACAAAAATCTAAGGAAGAGCCAGTGGGTCTCACCAAACAGCTCCTGGGTCAGAAGCAAGGAGATAACAAGATAAGTTACTCTCAAGGCCGCATTCTTGCATGCCCCTCCTCCTGTTTTTACAACTCAGGGATAATTAGTAGAAACTTCCCTCCCCCAGTTCCCTTCAAATAAGCGCCTTTTGAACTTTTACTCTAAGCGTTTTACAGGCCTGGGAAAAATACTGATAAGACACCTCCCTAAGACATCTGCCCCAACTGTCTCCTAAGGAACTAACAAACTATAACCCCCTGATGGCTGTTCAATGTCAGCCCCCAACCCCTCCCCCTTCCTTGTCAACAGCAGGCAAGACTTTTAAAAAGGGGAGTAGTTTGGTTTCTGTTCTTTGCCTTTACATTGATTAGCAATACACCAGCCCTCTCTCTGCAGGAAAAGTAAAATAAACTTTCTCTCTCTGTATCTAGCTCTTCTCTCAGCTGTGAATACTTTTGTAGTCTAAAATACCCTAACAATCTCTGTCTCAGGGTTACAAAGATCAGGTAAGGGGTCCTATTGCTTGGCAAGATGGAGAGTGCTATCGGAACAAAACCTATTATTATAATTTCTACACAGCCAGGTTATACCTTTTCTTCTAGCTTCATGTCTCTGCCATGGTTCTGGAGGTTTAAAGTCAGAGCATGATGTCTTGTCATACAGTATTATTAGACACTAGAGGCCAGGTGCACGAATTCTGCATGGGTGGGGTCCCTCAGCCTGGCTGGTGGGAGGTTGGTTAGCCATGGGAGGTTGGCTGTGGGAGCACATTGACCAGCAGCAGGCAACTCCTGTGTTGAGCGTCTGCCCCCTAGTGCACATAATAGCAATCAGTTGGCCAGTCATTTGGTCACTTAGGCTTTTATATATACAGATGTGCTCCATTTGGCCTGACTGTCTGAAATAAGTTAAGATGGTCCCAAGTATTGGACCGGAATTAGAGCTGAACACCAGCAGTAGGTGGTCTTACTGTGGCCCACACGCAGTGGGGGTGGTGTCAGCAGGGAGAGAAGCAAGAGGCTTTAAAAATGCCACACGGCGTTGCTCCCATGTGGGACACTTGGCGATGCCCACAGAGGAAGGACTTGTATCCTCACCAGCTGCCTTCCCACGTGTGTTCTTAGCTCCTGCACGGTGCTTGGAACACAGTAGGAGCTTACTAGGGGCTGGCTGAATCAAACTGTCATGAGATACAGCAGAGGAGGTGACCTCAAAGGCTGGGGTGGGACAGGCACGGAGAAAAATGTCCCAAGGAGAAAGCATCCCTGGAGCAATAAGACCAGGCCCGACAGCAGGTCAGCCTTGCCAAGCCGATGGAGGGTGAAACCCAGTAGGCGAGGCCTTGTGGGCACCTACAGCTGGACCACTGGGTGCAGCATTCAGTGTGAGCGCAGGGCTGAGCATACGTCTAAACTGAGCATGTGTGGCCCGGCGCAGAGAGCCTGGGACCAGGGTGGCCAACCAGACTGACGGGAGGAACAGGATGCGGGCGACCTCGGTCCCCAGGGCCTTGGGCCTAGAGAGGTTTAGGGGGAGAATAGGATGCCTCCTGCCGGTCCTCAGGGGTGGGTGGCGCTGCCAGACCATGCTTCTCAGAGGTGGGGACACAGGACTCAGGAGAGAAGAATGCAGCAGTCAGGGGTGCAGGGCAAGTGCCCAGCCAGGAGGAGGGGTGCCCAGGTGCCTGGGGCCACACAGAAAGTGCCGCGAAGATGTCCTGAAAAGGCTGAGAGAAGTGCCCCCGCCCAGCAGTGCAGAGCAATGCATGGCTGCGCAAGGCCAAGGGCAGGGCACAGAGAGAGCGGGGCGTGGAGCATGGTGACAACAGCAGCAGCAGCAGCGGCAGCAGCAGCATGGGAGGCGGGAAGCCCTGGTAGTGGACTTGGGGCAATGCGGAGGGGTCTGAGTCCTGCAGCCAGCGAACTGCTAGAGACGTTACTACCAGCAGAAAACGACGTTCAGGTGAAGACCAGTGTGGAACCCAAGGAGAGGACGCCGCGGACCAGGCCCAGGATTGAGACTTGGCCTCTAGCCAGCCCTGGCCAGAAGGTTTTTCCAATCCCTGGTGAGGAGGGATCAGTCGTTATACTACGAACACACACAGCATCTATTTAGCTCTCTGCAGGTCCGAGATGATTGCCAAGCACACTGTCGAGCGTCTGCTCGCCTCCCAGCCCCTTAACTGGATTCCAAGTTCAAGAAGCCCATCAGGTGCCGAGAAACGGAAATGGGCGAACCCGCGGGCCAGGCTGTCAGCATCTGGGAGCTGAGCAACTGAGCGGTGGGCGCCTGGTCACAGACCCTGAGCGCAGGGGCCATTCTCTGGGGATGGCCAGGGGACCACGCCTCATAAGGCGGCCCTTTAAGAAGGACCTCCCCTGCCTCGGATACCCAGGGAGCCTCCTGATGCAACAGGGCCTGCTGGTCTACCATTCCCTTCGGAGTCTACACTGAGTGGCCAGATTACTATGATCTCTGAACGCATAATAATCTGGCCACTAGTGTGTGTGTGTGTGTGTGTGTGTGTGTATACATATATTAGAGGCCCGGTGCATGAATTGGTGCATGGGTGGGGTCTGGCCAGCCTGGCCAGGGGAAGGGGACATGGGTGTTGGCCGGCCTGCCTGGTGGTCGAACTCCTGGTGGAGGGGACCATTTGCATATTAGCCTTTTATTCTATAGGACAGACACTGAGTGGCCAGATTATTATGTGTTCAGAGATCATCGCCATCTGGCCACTCCATGTATTTACATGGGCAAAGGGATGTGGGGTACAAACAGGTCTTTAGGAACGGCAGCCTGGGAGCCCCAGGATCACAGCCCCTCTGACAGCCCTCTGATGTTTCTCACTCCGGAGTCCTTCCTAGGGGGCTCTAAGTCCTCTCCCCCTACTTGCTTTGACCTCAGAGAGGAGAAACACAGCTTATCTGCATGGTTGTTGTAGGCCTTGGGCTTTTTCCTTTGTGAGGTTAATGATTTCTATGGTTTCTGGTGTGGGACTTACCTTAATAAATCATCTGATCATTTCCACGTTCGCCACATCCCTCCTAGTTTTAGTTCAGGGTCAGGCATCTCATCAGTAAAGAGTTGGCGGAGGCGGACAGCCACCCAGGCTCCGTTCCGGCCCCACCAGTCACCACAGGGCTCACTCCCGCTTGCTTCCATAGGCTGGTGCCGGGTTTTAGACCCAGGCCCAGGGCCAGAGTCTCTCGCTGGGGACTAACTACGATGCTGGCAGGGGCTTTGATGGGCCAGCGTGAGCTGCACCCAGAGAGGTCAAGTTGGCTGTTGGGAGAAAGGGCCCGACTCCCATCCTGAGGCCAGATTACTGTAGGATTTCAGGCAAGACCCCACCAGGGAGTTCATTGAGCTCCTGAGTAGAAGGAATCTCAGGTGAGGACAGACCCTGCTTCTTAAATACTTGGTGTGTGCACCGAGTCCAGCAATTAGTATGTCGTCTGGACCATTCACCCACGATGCCTTCATCCCTGCTGCTTTCCTGTAGTTTACTCAGCTACATGGCCCATGACATTCTGATGGTATTGTGATGGCAAAACCCGAGCTTGGCATGCAGGCGGGGTGCCGGGCCAGACGTGGCCGGACGTTACCTGAGGCTCCACGTCCAGGATGGCGATCAGCCCCTGCTCGTGGATCTTGCGAATGGTCTCCAGCTTGGTCCCGTACATGGCGTCCTCGTGGCTGCCATACTCCAGGTACTCGTTGTTGGAGATGTCCTGCATCATCTGATCGTGGGACACGAAGTAGTAGTTCTTCCCGTTCTCCTCATCTTTCTTTGGAGGTCTGGTGGTGTCTGAAAGCCACACGCCAAGAGAGGATTAGAAGGCGGAGCCTGCCTCCCAGTGGGCCTTCCCAAATCTAACCTCTCCTTGAACTGTGGGCTCCACAGTGTGTACCTCACACCCAATCCCCGGCCCTCGTAGCTTTGTAGAACGAAATTCTGGAAGTTGCATTTATCTGTGTGACATCAGACCACATAGCTGGCGTGTTGTTTGGTTTGGTGCAGTGGTCGGCAAACTCATTAGTCAACAGAGCCAAATATCAACAACTGAAATTTCTTTTGAGAGCCCAATTTTTTAAACTTAAACTTCTAACTCCACTTCTTCAACATAGACTTGCCCAAGCCTTGGTGTTTTGTGAAAGAGCCATACCCAAGGGACCAAAGAGCCGCATGTGGCTCGAGAGCTGCAGTTTGCCGACCACTGGTTTGGTGAATCTTTCGGTGTTTAGGTAAGATTCATTTCGTTCTTTCAGGGGTCACCACGTGAGAAAGATACAAAACGACCCACAAGTAACTTAACTCACTGTGTATGCCTTACATACAAAGGAAAAAGGAAAAAGAATTTAAGAGATAGAAAACTCCATATGGTTATTTCAATTGAAGATGAGTGGAAACTTCAGTTGCTCAGCCTCACTAGCCACATTTCCAGGGTTTAATAGACACACGTGGCTACTGGCCACTGTGCTGGACAGTGAAGAGACAGACCCTGAACGTAAGGCCCATCGGGTTCTGCTCATACGGAGCGTCTTGCAGGAGAAGGTTAGCACACAGCAGAGACACGCCGTACTGCACACACAAGGACATCAGCCAGATGCGGGCCTCGCGTTCAGAAAGACCTTCACCAGGAGCCGGCAAACTCTGGCCTGTGGGTCAAATATGCCCACGGTCTGTTTTTGTGAATCAAATTCCACCGGCACACTGCCATGCCCATTCCTTTCCACACTGTCTGTGCTTAATTTCATGCCACAAGGGCAAAGCTGAGTAGTTGTGGCAGAGACAGCTCAGGAAATTGTTTCTAGGCAATCAGGGCTGAGTCAATTAAATGTATGATAGAACAGGCTAATTAAAAAAATTTTTAAAAAATGATTAAGGTATTACATATGTGTACTTCTTCCCCTATTGCCCCCCTCCTCATGCCCTCACTTCCCTATTGTCTGTGTCCTTTGGCCAATGGTTGGCAAACTGCGGCTCGCAAGCCACATGCGGCTCACAAACCACAGTTTGCTGCTCTGTTGACTAATGAGTTTGCCGACCACTAACCTAGACTCTTGATTCCAATAATTACAGGCTGTTGTTCCTTGTGATTAAGTCCCTATCTAGTGGCCGGCAAATTCATTAGTCAACAGAGCAGCAAACTGCGGCTCGTGAGCCGCATGTGGCTTGCGAGCTGCAGTTGGCCAACCACTGGGTTAGGCTTATATGCATGCATACAGGTCCTTTGGTTGATCTCTCCCCTTACCCCACCCTCCCCTGCCTTCCCTCTGAGGTTTGAGCATCTGTTCGATGCTTCTCTGTCTCTGGATCTATTTTAGTTCTTCACTTTATGGTGTTCATTATTTTCCACAAATGAGTGAGATGATGTGATATTTATCTTTCTCTGCCTGGCTTATTTCACTTAGTTAGCATAATGCTCTCCAGGTCCATCCATGCTATTGCAAATGGTAGGAGTTCCTTCATTTTCACCGCAGTATAGCATTCCATTGTGTAGATGGACCACAGTTTTCTAATCCACTAATTTGCTGATGGGCACTTAGGCTGTTTCCAAATCTTAGCCATTATTTACAAAAGCAGGCTAGTTTTTAAGTTGATTTTGTACAGCCCAGAATGAAGTTATAGATATCCAAATGGTCCTTGGCAGAAAAGGTTCCCCACCCCTACTCTAGAATGACTTTATTTTATAGTTGAGGGAACAAAGAGGGCAAGAGGTAAAGGATAAGCACAGAAGGTAAGGGGAATAAAGATATTATAGATTTAGCCGGGACTGGTTTGGCTCAGTGGATAGAGCATCGGCCTGCGGACTGAAGGGTCCCGGGTTCAATTCCGGTCAAGGGCATGTACCGTGGTTGCGGGCACATCCCCAGTAGGGGGTGTGCAGGAGGCAGCTGATCGATGATTCTCTCTCATCGATGTTTCTAGCTCTCTATCCCTCTCTCTTCCTCTCTGTGAAAAATCAATAAAATATATATTAAAAAAAAAAGATATTATAGATTTAAAGTTCTTTATAATAAACAACTGGCAGCACATTGAGTGGATTTTGACATTGATAAAGTCAGCAGTTCAGTTTCTGAGTAAGAAAACTACTGTTATATAAAATAAAAACAATATTATCATCAAAACCTATTTTTCTGAAGAATACTTCATCTGCATAATATTTATGACACACTTTTGGAAAATCAGGATACAAACAGAATGGATGAGCCCAATTTTGTTAAAAAACAACAATAACCAGAAGCACATACTCCACATATCTGCACTAAGAGAAGACTGGAAGGGTATAAAAGAAAATATTTACGGCACTCTTACTAGGGGGGTGGGGTTGGGATTAATAACTCATTTTCTTTGTTCCTTTTTGGATCTTCCAGATTTTTTTTTTTTTTATTGATTTCAGAAACATAGGGAGAGGGACAGAGAGATAGAAACATCAATGATGAGAATCATTGATCAGCTGCCTCCTGAACGCCCCCAACTGGGGATCTAGCTTACAACCTGAACATATGCCCTGAGTAGGAATTGAGCCATGACTTCCTGGTTTACCACAATGCTCAACCACTGAGCCATGCTGGCCAGGCCCAAATTTCTTATAGTGAACTAGAGGCATGGTGCACGAAATTGATGCACGGGGGCGGGGGGGTGTCAGTGCCTGTCATAGCAACCAGTCCTTACACTGTTCAGTCGATTTGCGTATTACCCTTTTATTATATAGGATAGTTATTACTAATGTAATCAGAAAAAAGAGATAAATGACAATATTAAACAAGTACTAGAAAAACAATACACTTAAGAGAGAGACATAGCTTACGTGGAATAGGGTACGCAAAGCGGTCTGGGTGCTTTGTGATGAGGGTGTTTTTTATGTGTCTTCTCCCAACGCCATGCGCACCTAGGCCATTTTTGGGAAGGCAGTGAAAACAGACAATTGTTAATAATATTCAGAAAGTGTTTTGAAGACAAGAATAAGAAAACCACGAGTTCCCCCATCAGACTCACCTAATAAGACTAGTGTTTTCCTTTTGAATGCTGGCAGTTTTACTACTTCTTCATATGTAACAAGGTCTAATTGATCAAACACTAAAATGCAAAGATTTAGAAGACAGGTAAATTTGCAGGAAGAACAGTTCATGTATGTCAATGATAATTCTACTGGCAAACCTAAAGTAGTTGTAAAACCATGTCTTAAAATATCTGCATCCGACTTCTAATACATTTACATCATACAACCTTTCGGAAGAAAATGTCATCTTTAAGCCCATGAAAATGCACTTCAGAAGCAGGGGCATCCAAAGATACGTTGAGCACATGCATGAAAGTCCAAATCTAAAGGATACCGCATCTCTCTCATGCAGTAGCCAGCAAATCATACGAACTCATTCAAAACCACATGCTGTTCACCTTTTTGCGATTCTAAGAAACCAGAAACACTAAAAAGGCAGAAGTGTGCAGACAGCGGCCAACATGAATAGAGAATGAATGCAAGTGAAGTGAGCCAAGGAAGAGGCCAGCGAGGCTAGTGAGGGATGGAAGTGGGATGAATGGACAGCTGGTCTTGAAATTCATGGTTCTTTCTTTCAACTGAGTTGCTGAAGGCAGCATGCTAGGTGCTCTCAAGATCAAGTTCTGGGACTATGATTTCACAGGCTTTTGAAATGAGCATCTCCTGGGTTTTATTGCAACCCAGCTACCCATTCTATGGAAACCCGTGGGGACATGAGCAGAGATACAGGCTCCGAGGGGCCTAGGTTGTGGGCCTGTGGGCAGTGCATCAGGGCAGTGCACGATGGAAAGAAGCATGAAGCAGAGCCTCAACTGGAAAACTTTTGCGAAAGGGAGTTCTCTTATCATTACAGACTGAGGAGAAAGACTTGCCCGAGAGGGTAACCATTCCTGTGCAAGTTCAAGGTTGTGCGATTCTCAGACACGTTTGAGAATCCTCACAAGGCAGCTAACATCACGCACCTGTGTTTTCTACAATGCTTTTCTGCATGGCTATGCCCGAATGTGGCCGGGCACCCTGCAATTTCCTTCCTTGGGGGTATGGAACATGCTACAGATTTTAGAGGGTGGAAGGAAATTCAATAAAATGGATTCCCCGGTATAATCAAGAATAGGGGAGGGGTGTTTCAGTCAATCTTTAAGAGAAGCCCTGCAACAAAACGGCCAAATGCCTTCGGATGTCAGCTCAGTCCTTAACGTTTGTGATCTTCCCAGTAGCAAAGAACTGTCAAATGCAAAGTAGGCTACTCTGGAATGCAACAGATCAGAAACAAAGAAACAAACAAACAACAAACAAACAAACAAAAGTGTCATTCCCAAAATATTAAAAGACAGAAATGCAACATGCTCAAGTAGGGTTAGTGCATGTTAATGGGTACTTCTGCATTTGTTTCTTTTGAGAACTTGGCCCCACAAAGGCTGACTGAAAGTCTTCAAAGCCAAGGCTCTAGCGACAGCTAAAACCCAAGAAATGCTCTCTGCGTCTGCATGGCAGCCTTACAACATCGGAATGAACACGAGGCTCTCTGTGTAGCAGAGCTAGCTGGTCACGCTGAGGTGGTGACGGAGTGACGACAGTCCCCAAAATAAAACCAGGAGTGCTGCCAGCACTGCTTTTCCTACCTATCGCCCCCCGGGGTTCATTGAGGTGCAGCAGCAAGTCAGCAGATTTTAACAAAGCAGTCAAGCCTCTCACAGCCAGATTTCTGAACGGTGGGTGGGCCCACTTCCCCTCCACAGAGCCTAAATCCAGGCCTACTGGAATGAGACCCGTCATTTGAAAACACACATGAGAATGAGTTAGATGGTCACCATGGACAGGACAAACAAATGAACTGATATGTTACACATCAGTATCTTAACCATGAATGAGTAGCATGACAGTACACGGCCACAGGATTGCAAAACCATCACAAATAATACTGGGAAAGGAGACATACAAGGGATGTAAGGGGAACACATGGAGATGGGACTTGTACAGGTTTTAAGATGACCGGTGACGAAATGCAAGGACTTTACCAAACACAAAGAGGCAGTCACTCACAGGTTACTTACATGCAGAGGCCATTGTGAGGAAGACAGCATGAAAAATGGACAGGGGTCATTGAACATGGCTTTTAATATATTAGTAAAATAAAAGTATATGCACAAAAGAAACTTCATCATGCATTATTCTAAACACGAGGCAACTAAATCACATTAAGAAAAAAAAAACACCCACTTAATACAAAGTCAGCAACATCCTCCTGTCAAAGCCAGCGGGTGTCATACGCGGGGAGATTTGGTCTGGGCGTAGTTACCAGAAGCCTTCCTTGTCTGCATTTCAGGTACAGTACTTCCTGTCCTGCCTGCCATTCTAACCACCTGTGCCTAGGTCTCTTCTTGTTTAAAAAGAAAAACATCCTCAGGGCAGGGAGAGTTTGGGCCACTTTTGGTTGCCTTTAGAGTCCTCTGTATCCAAGAAGAAAGTTCTAGCTTGTGGCATGAAGCAAGGCTTCAGAAATACTGTCTGGCATAGTGGGCTCACATAATCTTGACTTCCGGGGAAGCCACTCGATATTCATGACACTGCTAAGTATTTGGTTAACTGCTTTTCAGTTGAATCTTTTTCACAAATAAGCCTTTAGCTCTGATTCCCTGTCTCTGCTTGGAAAAGCTAAAAGTGCTCTTTTTGGTCTTCTGGGCCTGCTTTTCAAATGTGATAACTATTATTATTATTTTTAAAATATATTTCTATTGATTTCAGAGAGGAAGGGAGAGGGAGAGAGAGAAACATCTGATGAGAGAGAACCATGGATCGGCTGCCTCCTGCATGCCCCTCACTGGGGATCGAGCCTGCAACCTGGGCATGTGCCCTGACTGGGAATCGAACTGTGACCTCCTGGTTCATAGGTCGATGCTCAAGAACTAAGCTGCACTAGATGGGCGACAGCTATTATTTTAAACACCATGAGTGTATGTGGAAAACAAAACTTATTTATAGGTCATGTTCAGCGAGCAGGCTGCCACTTTATAATGTGAGATGTAGGCAACACAGTTTGAAGAGAAGTCTGCTTTAATTAGACATGTGAAATCTCCGGGAACAGAAATGGAAAGAATTAATTCTAGTATTACTATTCCTATCAGTTCTAGATATTGACAAAGTTTCCATTCTTCATTTTTACGAAAAATATAAACAGCTTCAGAATGATGATAAGGTTTGGATCTTGTCACCAATATATGCTGAATTCTCAAATATCTGAAGCAGGAAACAAAACATGTGGCCCTTATTTTATTTTACCGAGCTTTATGAGGAGATGCCCCACTGTGTTTTACAATCAACTTCTGAAAAAGCCCAAGAAATCTTTCAGAAAGGTAGTTGGGTTTGTGACCCATGAGCCCATTTAGCTAGTTCCTGGTACTAAAGAACGGGGCATTTCCAAGTTCTCAAAATGTCTACCTTATTGATGGAGGTCACCTGTATTTGTTTCTTTTATTTTTTGGTTAATTCTTACCTGAGGACATTTTTCTATTGTTTTTTAGGGAGAGTGAAAGAGAGAGAAACATCGATGTGAAAGAAACACATCGATTAGTTGCCTCCTGCACGCCTGACCAGCACCTGGAATGGGGAGGAGCCTGCAACCGAAGTATGTGCCCTTGACCGAATTGAACCAGGATCCTTTGATCCGAAGGCAGGTGCTCTATCCACTGAGCCAGACTGGCCAGGGCTGTTTCTTAAAGCAATCCTTTCTACAGGCAATGCTGCATATTAGCCTGAACTTTCATCAGAGCTAAAGACAGAACAGCTGATACAATACCCGGTCTCCCTGACAACCTTCCTCTCTTGTCAAGACTCAAGATGATCATCAGGCAAATGAATTGTCGGCACTTTCTAATGATCCAGGTGGAAGAGTGGGTGGGTGGGTGGGGCAGCGCCCTGAAGAGGGGTTGAGGGCAAGGCCTTGCCAGGAGCACACTGCCCAAGGCCCAGGTGAGGGACCCGCATCTCCTGCCGACCAGGAGGACCTCCGGGAGACTCAGGAGAGATGCTGAGACAATGACCATCTGGCTAGGCAATGACCCAGGAACCTGAAATACACGTTCCACAGAGACACCCAAGAGGCTCTGTAAGGACCTTCTAGGAAGCTCAGCCCGGCTGGCACAGGGCTCCAAAGGAGTGTGCCATTCGCAGTGCCGGAGGCCACATGGAGAGGAGGTGACCTGATGAGGTAGGCCCTGAGGCCCAGAAGACCACTGCGTAGGAAGATGCTGAAGATAACACAAAGCGGTGATTTATTTAACAACTTGGAGGGAGCGGTTATAGGGTTAAGCCTCTGACCTGCTGGCAAAGTTGCAAACAAGGCCCAGCTTGGAGGGCACAGTCCTCTTAGCATCATTAAGCTCGATCCTTCCTGGGTAGCTAGTGGGCTGTGGGAGGGGCAGCAAATGCTGCCAAAACAGGTGAAATTCACAAGGACATTGTAAACTACCTTGTTTGTCCCTAACTATAACATAAACCATCAACTTGCAGTCTGGATCTGTTCTGGGGCCTCAGCCAGGCACAGGAGATCCACCTGGACCCAGCTTATTTTGTCTGTCTGTGTTTTCTTCATCCTTCACCGCCCTCCCTCAGGCTCGCCGAACCCTTGGCTGTGCTGGCATGGCACAGTGGGGGGGGGGTCCCCAATTTCTGAGTTCTACGTTTACAAGAACTTAGCCCATGATCTTGGTTCGGAGGTATAATGTCAAAAGAGAAAAAGCCATTCTATTCTATCCCTACGAGGTTCCTTCAGAAAGATGGTTGGGTTTGTGACCTAATGTTTACTTGAGAGGCAGTGTTTACTAGGGCGAAAGCCGGAGACCAGGGACAGTGAATGAGGCCTTGGCTTCATAAAATGATACCCGTTTGTCAGGCCCGGTGGCGAAAGAACCTGAGACCCACCGGATTTCCGAATTAGAAATGATATCCTTGATTTGAGAGCTGCATTGCTCAGGGGTGCGGGTTCCTGGGCCCACCTCAGGCTGCCTAGTGAGCTTATGGGTGTGTCTGCAGCGCTGCTGAGCATCGTCTACAGTGCATCAGAACTGGGAGACGGGAGGACAAAGCAGGGAAACAGGAGGGGGGGGGAGAGGCAATATTCTGGTGAATAAGGCAGAGGATTAATGGTCAGAATGGAGAGGTTCTGGTTTTTCTATCAATCGACTTTGTATTTTTCCTCTGAGCTGATTTACAGAACATGTGCCAATGGAGCAATCCTGCCCGCGTGCTCTCTCTTAGTAGCTTGCACAGCCAGTGAGGCGCTGAGAGCCATCACCAGCCACTGCTTTGCTTTCCTAGGTTTCAATTAATTTTACTGTTATCTGTGTATCTGTATCATCTAAAATTATTGTAAAAATTATACAAGGGTATATACACCGAGTGATGATCTCTGAACGCATAATAATCTGGCCACTCAGTGTGTATGTGTTTTACATATATTAGAGGCCCGGTGCATGAATCCGTGCATGGGTGGGGCCCAGCCAGCCTGGCCGGGGGGAGGGGACATGGGTGTTGACCGGCCTGCCTGTTGGTAGAACTCCTAGTCGATGGGACAATTTGCATATTAGCCTTTTATTCTATAGGAGAGACACTGAGTGGCCAGATTATTATGCGTTCAGAGATCATTATAATCTGGCCACTCCATGTACATACACACACATATATAAATAATTTGTGAGCCTGTTGGAAGCTAAATCATGCCTAATGAATCTGCTTTAAACATCTGTCCCTTTTACAAAACCAGCAATGCCATTATCAGCTTTGCGCTCTGCAGTGGCACATGATCAGACATGAGACAGTTAGTTGGAAATAAAATGTGGCCACTCGCATCTATTCCACATTACGTGGTGCTTCAACATGCTTAGTTTTTACTCTCTGAATCATACACGAACCCTTGCATGTTTCTAAATTACTTTTTCTAATGAATGCTCACACTATCACTTTGATGTTCCGCAGACAGAAAGGTGTTTCTTATTGGTCAGAAACACTGAACTGTCAGGTCGGGCATGCGTGATTGCATTCACTTGATTTTTGTGGCCACATGTTGGATCCTTGGAGTTATTTCTGAAACCTTGGGAACTAGTCTAATGCCACTCTTATGTCACCACACACTGCAATGGCAGGTCATGCCCTTTGGGTATGCATCTCAGTCACTGGCAAACAAAGAGTCTTCCGTCTTCAGTGTACACAAGCTTCCATGAAGACGAGCTTACCATGAAGGGAATGTCAAGGTAATGTTCTGGGTCTCTTAGGAGCCAAGGAAATACCAGTGAGGGAAGAAGACTAGCCGCAGAACCGGACTAAAGCAGTCTAGTATCCAATGTCACTTGTGCCCTTTCAAACCAATTACCCAACCCTCTGCAGCGTGCTCTGTGGTAGGAGTGCACCACTGCCCTTTGCAATGTGCCCCGGGGCCAAGTCCAAGGGCCGGATAGGAGCCAGGAGCAAGGGCACAGCACACCTTCCAGCTCGCGTTTCTCAGGGGAGGACTGCATGTACTGGGTTCTTTCTGTTCCAGAGAACACGATTGCCAAACAGCACTTGCTGAGTTCTGTAATATATCTGGCAACCAACCAATGTCATATTGGCAAGCTGATGAGGAGCTCACATGCTGGAGTGTGGGGGCAGGGAACTCTGAAGCCTGAAGGACATGTGACCTCTATTGTGGTCGGGATTGTCCCTACCTGCGTTGTGCTTGGCCAAGTACTTGTCCTTGTACTGCTTCTTCTTCTTGCCGAACCAAGTGCAGCTGGCCTGCTGCTCCTGCTTGGTCTTCTCCATGGCGATGCAGGCTACACGCCTAGGTGGGGGGAGAGAGAGGAAAGACACGGATGTCTAGGTTTATGCTGATCCAGGAGACATCACTGATTGGAAGAGTTTCCAGACCTGTGTGAATGTACTCCTCACACATTTTTCATGTCATTCTGATAGAGCCTGTTCTTTGGCTTTCATGACAATGCCCTGGAAATGTCTGAAACACACAGGCTCATCATACAATGACCTTATGTTCCTTGAGCACACATGATAACACATGAAAAGCCTATACTGCCAAGGCCGGTTTGGCTCAGTGGATAGAGCATCGGCCTGCAGACTGAAAGGTCTCAGGTTCGATTCTGGTCAAGGGCATGTACCTTGGTTGCGGGCACATCCCCAGTGGGGGGTGTGCAAGAGGCAGCTGGTCGATGTTTCTCTCTCATCGATGTTTCTGACTCTCTATCCCTCTCAATTCCTCTCTGTGTAAAATCAATAAAATATATTTAAAAAAAGAAAAGAAAAAGAAAAGCCTATACCTATGGTCATGATGTACAGTGGAAAGAGCATGGAATGTTGGGTTGATATAGGTCTCAGGTGATTATCACAAGCTTTCACCGATTTAGTGGTGGGTGGTTTTCGGAGAAATTGCTCCTAACTGCCTTCCCTTGCAGGCCTGGTACCCCCCAACTGCCCTCTCCTGCAAGCCTGGTCCCCCCAACTGCCCTCTTTTGTAGGCCTGGTCCCTCCTCACTGCCCTCCCCTGCTGTCCATCTTGTGGTGGCCATCTTGTGTCTACAGGGGGCAGGATCTTTGACCACATGGGGGCAGCCATCTTATGTGTTGGAGTGATGGTCAATTTGCATCTTACTCTTTTATTAGCTAGGATAGAGGCCTGGTGCATGGGTGGGGGACAGCTGGTTTGCCCTGAAGGGTGTTCTGCAACAGGATGGGGGTTTCCTTAGGGTGTGGGGCAGCCTGGGTGAGGGGGCTGTGGTGGTCTGCAGGATGGCCATGCCCCCTGGAAACCCTAGTGGAGGCCCTGGTATCTGGGATTTATTTATCTTCTATAATTGAAACTTTGTAGCCTAAAGTGGAGGCTAAGGCAGGCCAGGGCTGTAGAAAGCTTAGCTTCCTCCATCGCTGGGGGCAATTCAAACCTCCCTCCTACTCTCTCTATAGCCATAGCCATCTTGGTAGGATTAATTTGCATACTCAATCCTGATTGGCTGATGGGTGTGGCTTGTGGGTATAGCAGAGTGATAGTTAATTTGCATATTACTCTTTTATTAGATAGGATTTGGATAAGCTGGCCTTTGCTAAAAACTCAAGGGGCCAAAGAGCAGCATGTGGCTTGTGAGCTGCAGTTTGCCGACTACTGGGTTAGTAGAGTAAGGAAGAGATCAAACAGGTTTGACACTAGGAAGCAGTCATATCAGGTTGAAAACTGGACGAACAGGCTTTCATTTTTGAAACAAAACAAAACGAGAAAACCATACCATTCCTGCAGCTCAGGGGAGGGGATGAGGCCCGCGGTTCCGTTTTTGGAGTTTTCCAGCTTGCCCTGCCACCAGTTGTGGTCATCCTTGCTGATGATCTGGATGACGTCACCGACCCGGAAGCGGATGCCAGCCTCCTTGCAGGGGATGAGGTCATCCTTGGCCGGATCATACTCAAACTGTGCTCTTACATAGATCTACGGAACAGGAGTGCGTGAGGACCGGCGGGGGATGCGGGAGCCATAGCGCCACCCGAACAAGCACACCCCGACACTTCCAACACCACGGGACAGTGGATGGTGACACGAACATGATGCGTGGAACTACAACACGGAAATCCGCTACCACTACCCACAATGGCTACTTCTGATGTGCTCGGCTTTAAATGTTTGCTGCTTTTATTTATTTGGGGGACCATATGATACTTGTTAACTAAAACCCAAGACTTAATTTCGGAGTTTATTCTAACAGAATAGGCCTAGCCCAGTGGTCGGCAAACTCATCAGCCCACAGAGCCAAATATCAACAGGACAATGATTGACATTTCTTTTGAGAGCCACAATTTTTAAACTTAAACTTCTAATGCCACTTCTTTAAAATAGACTCGCCCAGGGCAAAGTATTTTGTGTAAGAGCCACACTCAAGGGGCCAAAGAGCCGCAGTTTGCCAACCACTGGCCTATACTGATAGAGATATATGCTTACCATTTAAAAACCTGCATTGTGCCTAGTTGGTGTGATGGACCCATTGTCATGATATGTGGCAGCCTCGAGGCCAGAGACACAAACATTCAGGGTTGGTTGAGCTATAAAGCAGTGCCTCATGGTGACTGAGTGTTTGTGCACACAGCCGATCAACTGCAATGTCATTCAAACAGTGCAAAGAAGCATTTAAAAAATAGTTTTATTGTTAAAAAAGGATGTAGAGCCTGGCTGGTGTGGTCCAGTGGTTGAGCCTCGACCTATGAACCAGGAGGTTATGGTTCGATTCCCGGTCAGGGCACAGGCCTGGGTTGCAGGTTTGATCCCCAGTAGAGGGAGTGCAGGAGGCAGCTGATCCATGGTTCTCTCTCATCATGGATGTTTCTATCTCTCCCTCTCCCTTTCTCTCTGAAATCAGTAAAAATATATTTTAAAAAGGCTGCATATTTGTGTTTTATGCTTCTTAGAGAAGACACATGAGCATGATGATATGCAAATGTAACGACTAAATATTATAAAAGGACACAGACTAGCACCTCAGGGGCGGTCCTGTGGCAGCATGTGTAGGATTCCTGGGCTTCTAACTGCCTTACGGCTTCCCGAGTCTTAATGCTCAGCTGTGGGCAGATCAATCAGGTGCTGAGTCCCGCCAATCGGAACGCCACACCTGAGCATGTTTTAAGACCACAACTGTCCCCTTCCAGTGTCCTTCCGGAAACCCCGCCTATAAAATGAGCAAGTCTCTGCATTTGCAACTAAGAGCCATCCTTGGTGGCAAGTTACTGCCCCTGGCTGGCGGCCCTTGATATTTCATGTTGGGACTAAGAGGGCATGCGAGGCGTCAATGCCAGGATTTGTATTCTTCACTGGCAATGCCTCTGAGAAACATCCATGCAAATACAAACGATCAAAAGGACTTCAAGTTTCATAAAGTTATTACTGAAGGAGCTCACCAGGATGTACATTTTAGTTACTCTTACGATCCCGGGAATTTCATAACCTTTAACCTTTTGTCCCACCCCAGCCAGAGTCAGGCCCGTAAGACCCCCAAAAGTAAGGTGACCAGACATCCCGCTTTTGGGACCGGCCAAAAGCGGGACGTCTGGTCACCTTACCCAAAAGGCTGAATTCTTAGTCACGGACATAGTTCTCAGGTTGCAATGACAGTAACCATCGTAGCTACAAGGGTGTGAGGGGGAAATCTGTACAGCGAATTAGTCATGTTTAATGTGTTAGAATGAAATGGTACAAGCTCTCGATGCTCCAATGTTATGGTCCAAAATGCAGACGTTGTGGGATGGAGAGGGTTAATAAAGGATCGGCTAGTAGCAGCTCGTTTTAGAGAAGTTTCTAGAGAGGATAGCTATTCACCTGTCGTCCTTTTGGTTGGGTAGTTGATGGCAAGTCCTGCAGAACAAAGCCAACCCAGGAGAAAAATTTTCATTTACTTTTCAAGAGCACAAGGAAATTTGTGTGTTCTGTTACAATATGGTTAAAAAAAAATGAGCTAGGTTTAAGTTGTAAAGAGATAATACACGTTATTCCAGTTCTCAGAAATGTTGAACTATTAAAAAAAATTAGCCATTTAGCAGCAAGCCGAAGAAAGCAGGTAAGTTTAAGCAGAGAGAAAACGTGTTGCTAAGCAACAACTCAGCATCTTCAACACAAAAGCCAGGGCGAGCGAAACAGCCCTACTTAAATGACAACCCCCACCATTCCTTTCAGATGTTGAAAACTCTGATGGCTCTATGGTTTTCACCATCGTAAGAGTATTCAGTGTTAACTGTTAGAAGGAATTCCTTTACAGCCTATTTGAAGTCGAAAATAAAAGCCATAGGAAATTTTCTTCCGTAATTTCACTTAGTGATATCATTCCATTTGAGATGATGGCTGAATTATTTAAAATTTTACCTGATAAAAAAGTTGATATATTTTTATTTTATTTGCAAAAGTTGACAGATTTTTACAGGGCAAATTCATGGTCCAAAAAGAGTGATAGTGCTGTATGGTTAGAACTTTCAGTACTTTGAACAGCAATACCACAACTCAGAGGAGACTCTGTTACCCCCAAATATTACACACTTGCACCTCTAAGTGCTTCCATTTGTTTACAAAAACTAAAACCAGTTGTTTTCACATATCAACATGGAAAGTTCTGGGGGGAAAACTAGAACTCCACGTTCAAGCCAAAACATAAAGTACTTTGTGTTAAAGATGTGATAGCAGCGTGGCTTAAGTGCAGGTTGAAGCCAGTTCCTTTTGCTTTTCATATCCAGGCAAGGTTTGTAATTCACAAAAATATGTGCACGTACCACAAAAACAGAGGGCACACCAATTCGTAAACGTAGATAGCGGAAACTAAGGTATGTTGCTCAGAATGGACCACGACAAGCCCGAGACCCGAATGCCTGCGCTGCAAAATCTGGACATTTCTTTCTCTTTCTCAAATTAAAAAACAGTTAGAAATTTCAAGGAATTTCCAGTTACACCCTTAGCGTCAGTTGGAGCAAAGTCATGAAGACTAGTGGGGTGACGCGGACATATCTGGGGGGGGGGGGGACCAGAGGAGTGTTGAATTGCATGTCTTCACATTTAACTGGTGGAAACGGAAAATGTTGAGGAAGATTTTTCCAGAAGTGAACTGCATTGCAGCTGTAGTAGCCTCGTCTACCGGCAGAAGACATAACTGTCACTGGACACATGTAACTAGAACACTCATGGCAGGTGGCACCAACAGAATTGTCACACGTGGCCGTGTGAAGCTTGAGTTCTTACCGAAACAGAATTGTTAGTGCTGCTATGACCATTAGCTGGGGACTGTCTGGAAGTGGAGGGGGAATCTCTCTGCAATAAGACACAAGGTTCATTAACAAACAGCGGCACAGAGACAGAAATATTCACACATCAACAGTTGCAACCACAGTCTGACAACCATTTCCTCTGAGGTTTCAGCTGCGCAGGTGCCACACTGACTTACTTGCGTGACTTCACAGAAATCAGAAAAGAAAACTTTGCAGCTTATTCACACATTGTGAATGATGCTCGTGAGCCATTTCTCCTTTTTGCTTTCTTTAAAGTAGACCCAGAGAGTGGCTTCCTATTAGAACCTTGTCTAGGCTAGGAAATGACAAATGTACTGTACCAGTATTGGGTTGAAGACCCAACTGCCTAATTTGTACTAAAAAGTAGGTTTAAAAAGTACTGAGTAAATTTTTGGGTACCTCAATGTCAAAAATGACTGAACAACTCCATTTGAAGTAAAACTAACATAGAAGAAAAAAAGACTTCTTATGTTGTAACCATTTTGGGCTCTTTCTAGGACAAATATTTTCAGAGGCTTGAGATTATTCTTTGAATCAATCCGCTACAATGACCTAAATAATGGTCTCTTCTCTGGCATCTATCTGTGTTTTATTCTTATTGGTAATATTTGCCTATTCAACGCACTCACACTCCTTCCCAGGCCCCTCCTTTATTGTCCAAATCACTTTTACTTGAAGACCAAGAAGAGGAAGGAAAGGAAGTGCTTAAACCTTTTTGGTTTAGTAGATTTCTCTGAAAACTTTGACATGTGCATGCCTGCTTAAAAGACATGTCAACCCCCTCCCCTCCCGAAGATTTAAAGAAAACTTCTGGCCCAGCCAGTGTGGCTCAGGGGTTGAACGTCAACCTAGGAACCAGGAGGTCAGGGTTCGATTCCTGGTCAGGGCACATGCCCGGGTGGCAGGCTCCATCCCCAATGGGGGGTGTGCAGGAGGCAGCCGATCCATGATTCTCTCTCATCATGGGTGTTTCTATCTCTCTTTCTTCCTCTCTGACATCAATTAAAAAAATAGAATCTTCTCCTAAAATAAAATAAAATAAATAATGAGACCCCTTAAATGAACCTTCTCGAACGTCAGGGAGAAACTGAGGCAGGTGGCCGGAGGGCCTTCCTTTGGGAAGTACAGCCCCAGGTGAGGTGGGGAGGGGACCATCCTTTTGCTGACCGGCCACAGGGACAGCAGGTCCAAGGGGGCGCTTCTTACATAAGAGCATAGAATGCACATGTGTCATACTGGCCCCATCCCAAACCTAGTTCAAGCACTTAAAACGCACAAGAGAAACCTAAGGAATCTTAATAACTGTCTTCTGGGGAGTCAGCCAGAACAGACAAAAATCCATAGTGTTTACTAACTTTCTCCAATGATAAGAGACAGTCAGGACCATCTGGGGTTTCAGAAGATCAAAAAGTGACCGAATCTCTTGCCCAGCAGGTTGGGTGCTAGGCAACCGACCTCACAACGACACGCCCTGGCGCAGAGCAGTTCTTTCTGCATTTGCTGTGAAAACAGTCTTCACTGAAGTTCCAGAAAAAGCCACCGAGAGGAGCTCAAGACCTGAGATGAACAGAAACCCCCACCGCCTGGCTCGCTCCACACGCACTTGACCGAGCTACACAGCCGGATGCGGCTCCTCACCAGGCTTAGAGGCACAGCGGGCCTCGGGGGTGGCCTGTGAGACGGACAGCCTTGCTAGAGAGCGGCAGGGTCATGATCATGCCTCCTGCAACGCGGCCTGAGTGCAGAGCCCAGTCCCTGCACAAGCTCCCCCTGCTCCGTCGGGCTCAGAAAGGGGTGCTGGCATGTGTGCTTCCTGTGGCTGTGCACACACACACATGTGGAAGGTGCACACATGTGGAGGATGCACAGGGAAGAACAGGCTTCGGAAATAACCCCGGAGCCGAAGGGGGACACCCCTGATGCCAGTTAGCATTCCAAATAGAAAAGGGAGAGATGTTGGGATCGCGTTTAGTCACCAACACGGAACTGGACGAGACAGGCTGGGCAGTGAGCTCTCTATAGGCTGAAGGCGCAGCACAGACAGGACCCGGGGCCGCATTGCTCTAGAAAGCTTGCTCACCGATGGCCTGCCCTCCCCCATGCATGCAATTTCACAGAAGCTTGCAAAAGCCCCCGTTCCTCTAATAGCATCAGCTACGGTCCTCACGCCCCTCCTGTCCCGGCCCAGGGCGTGACCGCCTGTCCTGACACCGAAAGAGACGCCTCTAGATTCTTGGAAAGAAGAACAAAGCTATCTGTGTGGCTTCTCAGCGAGGGAAGTGCCTGTATTTCCTGGAAATATCACCACAACCTATTCTTTCCTCACAGGCCTGCTCTGGCTCTATGGCGGCTATGCCGCTACTGGGAGCTTCTCTGTTTTGCTTCGACTCCGGCCTGCAGGAAGTCCAAGTGGAGTCCCCGGGGAGGCAGGGCTGAGTAGGTGGAGGGGACCTGCTCTGTTCCGTTATCTTGGTTGTAAAATTGGTGTGCAGTGATCAACAGCATAGGCAGAAACGGTTCCCCAGAAAGCCAGGACATTCAGCCAGGAGCAGACAGAGTGAGGGGCCCAGGGGAGCGGGGGGGGGGGGGGAGAGGGGGGGAGCCATTACCTCACAGGACGATGACTGAGTGCGGTAGCTGGGCACAATCTTGAAGGTGATACTCCCCCGCATTTCCCGCTGGAGGAAGAAAAGACAGCCGCTTAGCAAACCATGTTGCACAGGAAACATGTAAGAAGCAGCTCAGAACATGTGAGGGCAGGGAAGGCGAGGCAGCTGCGAGCGCCGGGCCTGGACTGAAACCAGGTTACTGAGCTCACGGTGCAGCTATGGGCCTGGGCTCTGATCCTGACCCCGACCCTGACCCTTTCACAGACACGAATACAAAACACGCTAAGTGACCTGTCTTTCCAAAGTAGGAATCACAGAGGGAAGGCGGGGGAGGGTGGTAGGAGGTGATGAACCAAAGACCTTTGTGCACAGCCGCATGGCCCATGGAGGCAGACAGTGGGGGGCAAAGGGGGAGCTGGAGGGGGTCAGTGGGGAAAAAGGGCACATATGTAACGCTTTCAACAATACAGACTAAAAACAGTGAATAGAAACTGAACTGGGTAATCGAAGAAGTAAATACTTAAAAATTATGTTTGGCAGGCTCCAGCATGATGCTACATGTCATAAAATTTACTTTTTATTTCATAACTAGAGGCCCGGAGCATGAAATTCATGCACTCAGGGGGTCCCTCAGCCTGCCCTGTGCCCTCTGGCAGTCTCGCGGGAGGTGGGGTTGGGGTTGTCTGACTGCCGTGGAGGCAGGAGTGGCTCCCGCCACCACCACTGCGCTCACCAGCCGTGAGTCCAGTTTCTGGTGCACTGACCACCAGGGGGCAGCTCCTGTATTGAGTGTCAGTGTGCATCACAGCAACCAGTCATTCTGCCGGTCGATTTGCATATTAGCTTTTTATTATATAGGATTTGACCTTGGTATTTACTAGAGTAAGTCTGTGTGCTTATTTCATTCACATTTAATCAATACTCATAATAGGTATTTCACACTTAATCAATATTCATAATAGTTATTCACTATGCTGCGGTGGGAAGGTCTGCTCACCAGGGCCTGCCATTCTGCCCACGCATCCTCCCCCCTTTTTTAAAACCCCAACCCTGCCCCGCACACAGATTTAGGGGGGCAGGGACAGAAATGACCTGATCTACTAGAACTTTCCTCCCCGTGCTGTGGAGAAAGCCCACCGCTGGCGGTGACTAAGCCAGGCAGGAAAGGGGTTTGACGTGGCTGTGTCAGCAGACGGAGATCACCGAGAAGCCAGCAGTTACACACAGCTGGGAAGGTTTGCTTTCAACAGCTGCTCGAGGACAAACCCAGCAGATAAAGAGGAAAGGAGAGAGCTAAAGCCCACGCCGCTAAAGACGGCCCCGCGTTTCCAAACGCCACTGCTTGTAACCATTTGAGACTAAGGAAAAGAAACTTGCGGCTACTCACGAGCATCTTCTGCAGCTGCTCCACTGTCTGGTTAGCCACGCTGATGCCGTTGATTTCTCTGATCTCATCACCCACATGCAGTGTGCCTGAGAAATGTCACAGGGTTATAGATACGCGATGACATATATTCACCATCCCAAGAAAGCAATGCAAACAACTGAAACAAATCAAGCTCAGCATGGAAGGGCAGGTTTCAGAAACAGGGACAGGTTTGGCCCCTCAGTACCCTGTACCACAGGCGCATCTGCTGGGAGACACCGCTTGGAAAGCTGGTGGTGGCAATCTGGTAGTTTTCCTGAGATAGGCAGTGTGTATGCTGGGTTAAAGGTACAGTTCCTAGATCCAGCCTGTCTGGGTCCCAATCCCAGCTTCATCGTTCACTAGTTTTAAGATCTTACATTAGTTTCAGGCATAGCCATAGAGATTAGACAATTATACACCTTGCCCTGGCACTGTACATAGTTATTACAATATTATTGACTATGTTCCCTTATGCTGTACTTTAAATCTGTGATTATTTTGGGTCTACAAATTCATACCTTTTAATCCCTTTACTTTTTCCTCTCGGCCCCACTAACGCCCCTCCCTTCCAGCAGCCATCAGTCTGACCTTACCATTGAATCTTTAAAAAAATATTTTATTGATTTTTTTACAGAGAGGGAGGGAAAGGGATAGAGAGTTAGAAACATCGATCAGCTGCCTCCTGCACTCCCCCTACTGGGGATGTACCTGCAATCAAGACACATGCCCTTCACTGGAATCGAACTTGGGGCCCTTCAGTCTGCGGGCTGACGCTCCATCCACTGAGCCAAACTGGTCAGGGCACCATTGAATTTTTATGTTCTTTATCAAACTCCAATTTCCCAAGTTATAAGTAGTATATCTCATTCCTAGATGAATGAGACAATTCTTTTTTAAGTTTAAAAAATTTTTGAAAAATATTTTCTTTATTTGCGAGGATGAAGAATGGAGAGGGAGAGAGAAACATCAATGATGAGAGAGAATCATTGATGGGCTGCCTCCTGTATACCCCCCACTGGGGATCGAGCCCACAACCTGGGCCTGTGCCCTGTGTGGGGAATGGAACCATGACCTTCTGGTTCATGGGTGGATGCTCAACCACTGAGCCATGCTGGCTGGGTGAGAGAGCAATTCTTGAACTGTCATTACATTTAAATGTATACATCTCATATCCTAGAATGGATGTCTTCCATATATCCTGGTGCCCAATAGGGTACTTTGCTTTATCTTTCATGGTCTCTACCAGTGGTCAGCAAACCGCGGCTCGCGAGCCACACTGTCTCCACGCAGCTACAGGACAAAAGCGAGAAAGAATCATACATGAAACTTACCTTGCCTGTGAATCATGCCGCCATGCATAATTCTTGCAACAATACAATGATTTAGCTCGTTCATTTTTAAAGTGATTCCCTGTAAAAAGTTAAGTAAAGATAGAGTTACTATAAGATGACACTCCTTTCGCATTTTTGCACCTATGTTCAAGAGAGTTGCTGGTCCGTAGTTTTCTTGTAATGCCTTTCTCTGGTTTGCGTATCAGGGTAATTCTAGCTAATAATAACAAAAACAACAACAAAAAATAAGTTGGGAAGAATTCCTTCCCTTTCATTGTTTTGGGAAGAGTCTGTGCAGAATTGGTATTATTTCTTCCTTATATGTTTGGTAGAATTCACCAGAGAAACAACCTTGTCAGGTGTTTTCTTGGATGGTTTTTAACTACAAATTCCATTTTTAAATAGTATAGGGTGACTCAGTTTCTGTAGAGTCTGTAGTAATGTCACTTCTGAATGCATGACATTAGTAAGTTAGTGTCTTTTCCCCCTGATCAGTCTGATCCTCTCAAAAATGTTTGTTTGATTTTCCCCTATTGTCTTCTGCTTTTTATTTCATCGATTTCTACTTTGATCTTTATTATTTATTTTCTTTTATTCTCTTTGAGATTAATTTTTTTCTTATAGTTGAGGTCATTGATTTGACATTTCTTTTAAAAGGATCTTATCTCTTTTTAAAAAATGTTATTGATTTTAGAGAGAGAGAGAAATGTCATTGATTGCCTGCCTCCTACATGCCCCCCACCTCAGCTGTGCCCTGACCGGGAATCGTACCGGCAACCCCTTGGTCCATGGGACGAGGCTCAACCCACTGAGCCACACCAGCAGCAGACATTCCTGTTTTTCTAACATAGATGCTTCGAGCTACACTCCCTAAGTCCTCCTTTAGCTGCAGCCCACAGATTCTGACTTGTTGTGGTTTCATTTTAATCCACTTCAAAATAACTTTTAATTTCCCTTTGACTTCTTCTTTGACTGACGGTTTATGTGGAGATGTGTTACTTAGTTTTCAAGCGCTTCGAGATTTTCCCAGGGATCTTTTTGTTCTTTATTTCTCACTTAATCCCCCTGTGGATTGAGAGTATATTTTGATGCTAATATAGCCATTCGAGCTTCCTTTTGATTACTGCCATCTTTATGTAGAAGGTACTTCTTACAGGCAATACAGAACAATCACTGCTTGTGCACTGGGGGACGTTAAACTATTTACACTTAATATGGCTATCGATACGGTTAGGTATAAATATATGTTCTTGCCTTCTTTTGGGTTAATTTCTTTTTATTCTCGTTTCTCTCCTGTGTTGTCTTAGTAGCTATAATCCCATCGTGTTGCTTTGCTGACTGCTTGAGGGTTTAGCATACATAGTACACTCACTGCAGTCTGCCTTCTAGCGGGCTGCTTGTGCTTCCTTCCTTCTGACCTTTGTGCTTTGTTACACATTTTACGCCTACATGCTAAAAACCCCAAACATGTCATTAGTTTTGTGAAAACTGCCAGCTATCTTTGAAAGAGATTTAGATGGTAAGGATGCCCTTTAACATTTTTATTTTATTTTATTAAGTATATTTTATGGATTTTTTTACAGAGAGGAAAGGAGAGGAAGAGAGTTAGAAACATCAATGAGAGAATCAATGATCAGCTGCCTCCTGCACAGTCCCTCCTGGGGATGTGCCCGCAACCAAGGTACATGCTCTTGACCGGAATCGAACCTGGTTCGCAGGTTGATGCTCTGTCCACTGAGCCAAACTGGTCAGGGCCCTTTAACATTTCTTATACTGTAGATCTATTGAATTGTTTTGGTATACCTGAAAATGTTTTTATTTTACCTTTATTTTTATTTTTAAAAATATATTTTATTGATTTTTTTACAGAGAGGTAGGGAGAGGGATAGAGAGCTAGATACATCAATGAGAGAGAAACATTGATCAGCTGCCTCCTGCACATCTCCTACTGGGGATGTGCCCACAACCAAGGTACATGCCCTTGATCGGAATCGAACCTGGAACCTTTCAGTCCGCAGGCCGACGCTCTCTCCACTGAGCCAAACCGGTTAGGGCAATTTTACCTTTATTTAAGAAAACTTTCTGTTGCTAAGACCAGTTTAGCTCAGTGGATAGAGCGTTGGCCTGCGGACTGAAAGGTCCCAGGTTCGATTCCGGTCAAGGGCATGCACTCTGGTTTCGGGCACATCCCCAGAAGGGGGTGTACAGGAGGCAGCTGATCGATGTTTCTGACTTATCTCTCTCCTTTTCTCTCTGTAAAAAGTCAATAAAATATATTTAAAAACAAAACAAAACAAAAAACAAAAACTTTCTGTTAATCATCACCTGAGGATATTATTTTAGGGAGGGGGAGAGACAGAGAAACATCCATGTGAGAGAGACACATCAATTGGTTGCCTTCTGCATGACCTGGACCAGGGCCTGGGATTGAGCCTGCAACCGAGGTACATGCCCTTGACCAGAATCGAACCTGGGACCCTTCAGTCTGTGAGCTGATGCTCTAACCACTGAACACTCCAGCTAGGTCTTACCTTTATGTTTTGAAAGATACTTTTGCTGGATTTAGAATTGTAAATTGAGGTTTTTTAAACTTTCAGTACTTTAATGACATTCTTTTAAATTGTATGATAAGGAATCTTATATCTTCCTTCTCTTTGTTCCCCTGTATGTGATACTTATTTTGTTAATCTCCATTTTTAAAATCGATTTATCATGGGTCTAAGCAGGTTGATTAGGATGTGCCTTGGTGCTGCTTTCTTCCTGTGTGTGCTTGGAGTTCCTGTGGTTCTCGCAACTGCAGAGTTACAGTTTTCATCATGGGGCGTGCTCTCAGTCACTGTTTCTTCAAATACGTTTTCCGTCAGAGCCCCTGCCTGCCCAGGCTCAGGGATCAGACCGTCGTGCATGTTCAGGGTCCCCTGTGCTGCTTCTAGCAGCTGCCTGGTACCATGCGTTGCTATGACAATGTTATCCGCTTACCATTCCCTCCCTCTCTTTTGTTTTGTAGAATTAAAAAAAATATATATTTATTGATTTTTTACAGAGAGGAAGAGAGAGGGATAGAGAGCTAGAAACGTCGATGAGAGAGAAGCATCGACCAGCCGCCTCCTGCACACCCCCTGCCGGGGATGTGCCCGCAACCAAGGCACATGCCCTTGACCGGAATCGAACTTGGGACCCTTCAGTCCGCAGACCGACGCTCTACCACTGAGCCAAACCAGCTTTGGCTGTAGAATTTTATTGCTGTGTCTTCGCATTTCCTAATATTTTCTTTGGAAAGGTCTGACCTGCCATTAATCCCATAGGCCACTTGGGGGTAATCGAATATCTGTCAGTTTTGATTGATCATCTCCACATGGTAGGTCACACTTTCCTGCTTCTTCACGTGCTTCGTAATCTTTGATTAGATGCCAGATATTGTCCATTTTATCTTGTCACATGCTTGGTGGTTTTTTTTTTTAATTCTTCTAAATATTCTTAAGCTTTTTTCTCCCCCTGGGATGTAGTTCTGTTACTTAGAAACAGTTTAATCCTTTGATCTCTTAAAAAACTAGTTCTATTGAATTCAGAGAGAAAGGGAGGGAGGGAGGGAGGGAGGGAGGGAGGGAGGGAGAGAGAGAGAGAGAGAGAGAGAGAGAGAGAGAGAGACATTCATGATGAGAGAGAAACAGGTGTGCAAGAGAGATGAGAAGGAGAACCCAGCCTGCCTTAGGTGTGATGGCAGCACAGCGCTGTGGGCAGCAGGAGGGCCTGTGTGAAGTGAGGATTTGGAAGCAGATTCTCTCCCTTCTCTCCCCCTCTGAGGTGTAGAGGCTGGAGTCAGGAGCTCTCACTCCCGCTGGCATTTTGGGAGGATTGAGACCTTTCTTTCCTACTCACCATGGGCTCGTCTGTGTTCTTCTGGAACTGCACCAGGCGGACGCGGGTCACGTTCTCCATGTCCATGTCCCCGTTGGCGCTCTCCGGGGAGTCGCCGTTCAGGTAGGGGGACGTGGGGGGCGGCGTGACCCTCAGCGCCTCATCGCTGTAAACTTCATGGGCCACTACGTCGTGAGTCTGAAGTAAGGCCTAGTGTTCCAGGAAGGAAGTGACATCTTAATAACAGTACTGTTCCAGGAGGAATCGATTCTATAAACACGCATACAACCATCCTCTGCCTCTCAAAGGTGTATCTCATCTACAGAGAACTCAAAACGCCTTACACCTACATTTAACTATACCCTGATCTCTTTATCTTCCTTTAAAATATATTTTATTGATTTTACACAGAGAGGAAGGGAGAGGGATAGAGTTACAAACATCGATGAGAGAGAACCATCCATCAGCTGCCTCCTGCACACCCCCTACTGGGGATGTGCCCGCAACCAAGGTACATGCCCTTGACCGGAATCGAACCTGGGACCCTTCAGTCTGCAGGCCAATGTTCTACCCACTGAGCCAAACCAGCTAGGGCTATAGCCTGATCTCTTTAGAAAATATATTTCACTGATTTCAGAGAGGAAGGGAGAAGGAGAGATCAATGATATGAGAGAATCATGGATTGGCTGCCTCCTGCACTCCCCACAACCCAGGCATGTGCCCTGACCAGGAATCGAACCCTGACCTCCTGGTTTATAGGTCAACGCTCAGCCACTGAGCCACACTGGCCGGGCACCTTGATTTCTTTATGACAAATAATCATGATGATATAAAAAAGAATGAACGCAAGCATGCATGAGTAAATCAATGGATGCACATGTTTGTTGATTACCTGGGTTAGAGGTATTGTCTGATGTTATAAGAAAGTACCAACTAACCTGTTTTTTTCCCCCCATTGATTTTTGGAGAGAGTGGAAGAGGGAGAGACAGAGGTTGCCTCTTGCATGAGTTCTGACCAGGATCTGGGCTGGGGATGTGCCCGCAACCAAGGTACAGGCCATTGACTGGAATCGAACCCGGGATCCTTCTGTCTGCAGGTGAACACTCTATCCACTGAGCCAAACCAGCTAGGGCCCAACTAACTTGTCTGAAGGCTGACATAATGCAATTTCAAATAATTTAGTGGAAAGACTCACCTGTGAGTAGGGTGGCAAATTTGTTCTAGAGCTTAAAATGGGAACAGATTTGAAAAGAAACAGTGCGATAGTTGGTATATTGAGCAACTATCTTTCATTGATAGTGTTAACAATGACGCTGCTATATAACCGAAAGGATGAAGAGAGCTTATAAAACATGTAAATTTCCAAAATATCACATACAACATGGGCATTGAGGACAGTAGGACAAGGTCCCTGCCCTCAGGGAACTTCCATTCTCATGGGCACAGGGTGAGGGGAGATAAGTGAGCTGGAGACAGATGGTGAGGAGTAAACAAACAAGATCATCCTACATAATAAAAAGAGGCTAGCCGGGACCGGTTTGGCTCAATGGATAGAGCGTCGGCTTGGGGACTGAAGAGTCCCGGGTTCGATTCCAGTCAAGGGCATGTACCTTGGTTGCGGGCACATCTCCAGTAGGGGGTGTGCAAGAGGCAGCTGATCGATGACTCTCATCGATGTTTCTAACTCTGTATCTTTCTCCCTTTCTCTCTGTACAAAATCAATAAAATATATTAAAAAAAAAAGAGGCTAATATGCAAATTGTCCCCTCGGGAATTCAACTAGCCAGGAGTTCAACCACTCGCTATGACGTGCACTGCCCACAAGGGCTAGGGACCCTACCCATGCATGAATTTCGTGCACTGGGCCTCTAGCTCCATATAGTAATCATGACTATGAAGAAAAGGAAGGATAATGGGGCAGAGATGATAGTAAAGTGGGAGTTACTTTATTATTTTTTAAAATATATTTTTACTGATTTCAGAGAGGAAGGGAGAGGGAGAGAGAAACATCAATGATGAGTGTGAACCATGAATCAGCTGCCTCCTGCACACCCCACACTGAGGATCAATCATTTAAACCTATACTTATTTACTCTTCCTTTAATTACTGTAAATACTTATAAGTATATGCATTTTTATATATTTTTATTGATTTCTTTTTACAGAGAGGAAGGGAGAGGGATAGAGAGTCAGAAACATCAATGAGAGAGAAGCATTGATCAGCTGCCCCCTGCACACAGCAGGCAAGTACATGTTTGAATGAAAATTTTAAGTGTCTACCTGGATATTCAGAGAGGACAAGAACTATTCATTATTTTTGGAAATGTTTACTGATAGCAATGCACACGTCACTTTGTACTATAACGTTAATAGTCTGATATTGTAGGAATAAGTTGCATTTGATGGGGATGGCTGTTTTATGAGGACTGCTAACAACTTTTGTAAAAAGGAGAAGGCTACAAACTTCTAGCTACAAAAGAAATAAGCACGGGATGTGGTGTGCGGCACAGAGCATATGCCACTAATATCATCACTTTGTACAGTGAGAGGTGCTCACTAGCTTATTATAGTGATCACAGTGGCTCACCTGAAGCCAAGAGAATACTGAATGCCAACACACATTAATAAAACGTTTAAAAATATGGGGAGCTTCTTTGAAAGGAAGGCTGTCATCCTGGGGGGGTTGTTACTTACCATGAAATGAGGTTGTGTTAAAATACGCTTCAGTTCCTTAGCATCATTATTTTCAGGGTAACATGAAATTTCTTCCAATACCTGAAACAGAAAAAAGCAAGATATACAATAGTGCAGACAGGATATGTTTAACAACGATAGAAACCTTTTAAATTAAAAGTTATGGATGAGCCTGGCCGGTGTGGCTCAGTGGTTGAGCGTCGAGCTATGAACCAGGAGGTCAAGGTTCGATTCCCAGTCAGGGCACATGCCTGGATCGTGGGCTCAACTCCCAGTGCGGGGCGTGCAGGAGGCAGCCGATCCATGCTTCTCTCTCAACATGGACTCCCCCCCCCCCTCTCTCCCTTCTCCTTTTCTCTCTGAAAGCAATAAAAAAATATTAAAAAATGAAGCTGTTCTTCAAAAGCTATCCCTTACCATGAAGATGAGGAGGGAGTGGGGGCTCCGTTGTCTTGCAGAGCAAAGATCCTGCTTCGGTTCTTACTGGAGATGGACCCCCAGAGCGCTTACACAAACGGCACCCAACACCTCAAGTTAAGCCGGTCACGGCTTGCCTGGCAGGACAGGCGGGAGGGCCAACCCTCGGTAGGAAGTGTCGCCTCCCCCAGGAGCCTGGAGCCCTGGGCGGAAGGGATGCCTGAGGTCCCCGAGCCTAAGGCTGCTATCTCAGCAGCAGATGCAGGGGCTGCCCACCGCCGCAGGGAACCCTGGGACAAACAGTTTGGGGTGGGAGTTCTTTCTTATCCCAAGTACTGGTTATGCTGGTCATTCATTTTTGCTCATCGATAAGCTGACTCTCCTTGCTGTGTGTTAGGCTTTGAGTTTTGCTACCAGAAAATGAAAGGATGAAACCATATGCTCTCTCTGGTCCCTGGCTACCCTCACAATCTATGATCTTATTGATTAATTGCAATTTTTTAAAAAGTTGCCAACTTTTATAGATTTTATTGATTTTTACAGAGAGGAAGGGAGAGGGATAGAGAGTTAGAAACATCGATGAGAGAGAAACACTGATAAGCTGCCTCCTGCACCCCCCCATCCCCCCACTGAGGATGTGCCCGCAACCAAGGTACATGCCCTTGACCGGAATTGAACCTGGGACCCTTCAGTCTGTAGACCAACGCTCTATCCACTGAGTCAAAATGGTAAGGGCATTAATTGTAAAATGTAGTTAAAAAAATTTTTTTTAGTGGGAAATTAGTGCTTTTCATTTGTATACTGTAAATATAAATGACAATTTGTTTGAAATGTGTAACTTTGATATGCAAAAGATAATAACTCACAATGTTAATATTAAATATTCCTTCAAAATAAAAAAAAATTAAAAAAAAATTTTTTAAAGGAAGCTGTATTTTGTTTTATTTTTTTAAATCCTCACCTGAGGATATTTTCCCATTGATTTCTAGAGAGTGGAGAGAGAGACACACAGAGAGAAATATTGATGTGAGAGAGACACATGGATTGGTGGCCTTCTACACGCACCCCAATCAGGGCAGGGAGGAGCCCGCAACTGAGGAACATGCCCTTGACTGGAATCAAACCTGGGACCCTGCAGTCTGCAGGCCGATGCTCTATCCACTGAGCCAAACAGGCCAGGGCGCAATCTATGCTTTTAAACACTGAGGTGTGATCTCCTAAGTTAGACAGGGTGTCTCCTAGCTGGTGCCTGGACCTGATGTGGGTGCACCTAGCAGACCCCTGTCCTAGGTTTTGTTTCTCAGGGAATTTCTATAATAAAAGCTTAATATGCTAAGTGTCCTGTTGTCCAGTTGGCCGTTCAACCAATCAAAGCATAATATGCTAATGATATGCTACAGCCACTCAACCACTTGCTATGACGTGCACTGACCACCAGGGGGCACATGCTCCTACTGGTAGGTTATCTTGCTGCTGGGGTCTGGCTGATTGGGATTGAGTGAGACAGCCAGACATACCCTGGAGCCCTTCCATGGTCCCTCCCAGGCCCCAATCATGTACTGGTGGGGGTCCCTCAGCCTGGCCTGTGCCCTCTCGCAATCCAGGACCCCTCAGGGGATGTTGGAGAGCTGGTATCAGCTGGATCCTGCAGGCCAGGCTGAGGGACCCCACTGGTGCATGAATCCATGCACCGGGCCTCTAGTCCATGATATTTTCCAGGACAAGTCTTGTGTTCAAAAGCTGGTAGGGAAGGAATTAGGCCCTTCAGATTCTTTCACTTAGCAGTCTCACTTCATAAAAAATAAAGTGTTCAAAGGAAAATGTTTATTTGTATGAAAGCTTTTATCACATCAAAAAGTGGAAAACCCCCCACTAGGTGTCTCACAATGGAGAAATTGCTAATTCATGAGCATTTAGTAATAAAAAAGATAAATTATGTTGTCATCAGAACTTATATATACAAAGACCAAGTAGAAACAGAAGAAATGCTCATTATATGCCAGGTAAAAAGAGGATACATTTTGATTATATATATGCAAATTAGTCATGACTGGAAAAGGACATGCAAATGAGAATTACTGAGTGATGGGATCATGAATGAATTTTTATTTTCCAAACTTTCTACAATGTCATGTTTCCATATCAAAAAGGTTTTAAAAAGTTGGTGACGGACAAACATTATCTGACAATTTATAGAAACGACTTCTCTCTGAACTTAGATGAAGATATTTAATAACTTGCAAATATTTCCACCTTTAAAAGTGACTCAAATGTCCCATCAAGTGCAGTAAAATAATTAAAAAAAAAAAAGAGAAGCAGCCTTAACTGGTTTGGCTCAGTGGATAGAGCGTCGACCTGTGGACTGAAGGGGTCCCGGTTCGATTCCGGTCAAGGGCATGTACCTTGGTTGTGGGTGCATCCCCAGTAGGAGGTGTGAAGGAGGCAGCTGATCGATGTTTCTCTCTCATTGATGTTGCTAACTCTCTCTCCCTCTTCCTTCCTCTCTGTAAAAAATCAATAAAATATATATATGTAAAAAAGAGAGAAGCAAAGTTGCTGTTAACAAGTTCAGGTTCACACAGCAGAAGCAGCCCTGGAACCTGGGGAGCGCTGCTCCTGAAGCTTCTCTCTTTTCTGAAGCAGATGCTCAGTGAGACACTGAGACATTCTGCATCTGAGCATCATGGTCCCTGTGACTCCAGGGAACTGCCTCTTGCTGTACAGACACGCTCTCAATAAAGGAAGCCAACACGAACCCAGGTGTGTTTACAAAAATGTTCCTTAGCTCGGCCGGCGTGGCTCAGTGGTTGAGTGTTGACCTAGGAACCAGGAGGTCACAGTTCGATTCCCGGTCAGGGCACAGGCCTGGGTTGCAGGCTCCATCCCCAGTGTGGGGCGTGCAAGAGGCAGCCGATCCATGATTCTCTCTCATCACTGATGTTTCTATCTCCCCCTTGCTCTCCCTTCCTCTCTGACATCAAAACAAATATATTAACAAACAAACAAACAAACAAACATGCCACTCACCTCTTTGGCTCTCTGTACCGCGTCACTCGGAGGGTTCCTGATTTGCGGCGAAGACTTAGTGTTGATTTTGTCATACAGCTGAAAGCAAAGGAGAAAAGCCCATCAGTTATTATTCTTTGCTGGAATTCAGCACTGCATGTTTATTATTTCATTGAACAAGATTTTCCTCCTCAAAGAACAGGCTGATGATTTCCATGGGATCTTCTTGCTCATAGTCTTTTGATCATTCAAGGAAACTTGCTGGACTCTGAGTCGTGTGCATATCCTACAAAAATCATTCTTAAAGAGATGGCCCCAAATGCTGTCCATGTGGTGATTGTCCTGTCATTTTTAATCCATCAATATTTCAGGAATCACAGGATGTTTCTCTCTGATAGAAGCAACACTGAATAAGACGAAGGCGGAGGAAAATGAAAGAACGCTTTTTGGCCAAGACGCGACTGAAGAATTTTCACAGAAATCTCAGGCTTGGGAAAGGGCAAGCCAAGCCCTTCCGGGAAGGAATGTTCTCACAGAGGCTCCTACTAGTGCCCCAGGCTGCTCACCAATAGCACCAGCCTGAGGTACAGCAGGAAGCCAAGGACATAACCTTTTCCTCTGGAATCTGAGAGCCACACAATGTGAGGAGACATTCATTTTTCACATTTTATTTATTCATTTTAAAATACATTTTTATTGTTGATAGTATCACAGATATCTCCCTTTTCCCCTCCTCTCCACTCCTCCCAGCCCCTACCCGCCCCCCAGGTCTTTATGACTCTATTGCTCATGCCCATGGGCTATGTATATCTACACTAATAAAAGAGCAAGATGCAAATTGACCATACCTTCACAACGCCCACCAGCCAATCAGGAGTGAGCATGCAAATTAACCCAACAAATGTGGCAGGTTAATTTGCATATACATGCACCACCCCTGCTGCTCTGTGCCTCTGGGCAGTGTGGGAAGGCGGAAAGGCAGCTCCGGCCAGAGAGAAGATGATGCTGGCAGCCAGAGGAAGGAAGGCCCATTCTTGCACAAATTTTTGTGTACCAAGCCTCTAGAGTAAGTATATAAGTTCTTTGGTTTATCTCCTCTCATCCCCCCCACCCCACATAGAGGTATGTTGGTCTGTTCTATGCCTCCTTGCTTCAAGTCTTATTTTGTTGGTCAATTAATTTTGTTCATTAGCTTCCACAGATACATGAGATCACATGATATTTGTCTTTCTCAGATTGGCTTATTTCACTCAGCATAATAGTCTCCAGGTCCCACCTTGCTGTCCCAAAGAGAAGACATTGAAAGAATCTAAAAACATTTAAAAGCCCCACAAATCTAAATGATCTAAAAATTAAACTTTCTGAAGACCGTTACTTCACTAAAGAAGAAGCTCTGTAGTGTGGAAATGCAATTGAAATATTAGTTTCTAATCTGATAAAATGTCTCACTTCTCTAAAATACTTGGGGATTCTTTTGGGGGTTGGTTTTGCTCCCCCCTACCCCCTTTTTTTTTTAACTCCCCTACTATGCACAGCCATACTACTGAGAGGTCAACCCCCCATCCGCTCCCCCACACAATGCAAGGGGCCATAGTTAAACAAACACATTGAAAAGAAATAACACTGCCGAAACCAGTTTGGCTCAGTGGATAGAGCGTTGGCGTGGGGACCGAAAGATCCCAGGTTGATTCCGGTCAAGGGCATGTGCCTTGGTTGCGGGCACATCCCCAGTAGGGGGTGTGAAAGAGGCAGCTGATCGATGATTTTCTCTCATCGATGTTTCTAACTCCCTATCCCTCTCTCTTCCTCTCTGTAAAAAATCAATAAAATATATTAAAAAAAGAAAATACCTAACACTGAAAAAAATAGACATAGCCATCACTTGACCTGTCCTAGTATTGACAATCAAATAAAGTAAAAAACGACATGAATAATAACAATGTTTACAACTCTCAAACGCCACTGTGTGCAGAAAAGACTTGATAGAAGCTTCACAAGTTAAAGGCACTATCGCTTTATAATAATTTCACCACATAAAGTTTGTCTTCTTCTTGACCGAGGGCTACCGCAAGCTTTGCGTTCACATTTCGCAGCGAGGGTAGTCTGAGCTTCTATTTACACACTGAATGCATGGCACTGGCTTGTCCTCTCACAGCCACAGAATCCCACAGCTCCAGAGTGGCCACTGGAGACTTTATTTTCGGCCTGGCCTCGCCATGCCAAGCACGGCCCCCTGGGCCTCAGTTCAGAGTGGTTTTTTTAAAAAAATTATTGATTTCAGAGAGGAAGGGAGAGGAAGAGAGAGATAGCAACATCAGTGATGAGAGGGAATCACTGATGGGCTGCCTCCTGCATATTGGACGGAGCCCACAACCCAGGCATGTGACCTTGACTCAAATCGAAACTGGGACCCTTTGGACCCCGGGCTGATGCTCTATCCACTGAGCAACACCAGTTAGGGCCCAGAGTGCTTTCTTGAGGACTCGGAGCATAATCAGCTGAGGGGGGTACGAAACATGCAGGTTCTGGGCCTCCCTTTTCCCGGACCTACTGAATCAGAATTTGAAACGGGGTCTCGGAGGATGTGCTTAAGCCATCTGTCCATCTTAGACGCAGTGTTACGTTCTGAGAGGAAGTATAAGAGGGCTAACAGCAGCACTGACAATGGCTGCTTTCACTGAGCACTTGTTACATGCTAGTTCCTGAAGTTCTTAACACACAATCCTCAAGTAACTTTGTACGGTTGGGATCCCTGTTCTCCCCACTTTACAGATGAGGAAACTGAGGCACGGAACAGGAAAGTGAGAACCACCATTCTAGCCCTGGTCACTTGTTGATTTGTCGATGGTAGCCGTTCTGACAGGAGTGAAGTGATGATGAATGGCACTGAGCATTTTTTTAATGTCTCTTGGCCATCGGTTGAGTTGTATGAGCACTTTATATCTTTTGGAAATTAACCCCTTATCAGATGTATCATAGGGAGCAGCTAACGATCATCAATGAGGGGCGAGGCTGTGGTACAATACCACTCCCTCCAAGAACAGGCAGCTGGCTTGGGCCCGACAGCGGTAGTTGACTGCACTAGAAGCTTACATTCAAGGTGGATTGGAATGGCAAGAAATATTTCTTGCTTGGCCGGTGTGGCTCAGTGGTTGAGTATCGACCTAGGAACCAGGAGGTCATGGATGGATTCCTGGTCAGGGCACATGCCTGGGTGGCAGGCTTGATTCCCATTGTGGGGTGTGCAAGAGACAGCCAATCCATGATTCTCTCTCATCATGGATGTTTCTATCTCCTTCTCCCTTTCTCTTTGAAACCAATAAAAATTTTTAAAACACCCCCAAACCAAAACTAAACAACAAAAACCCCAAATATATTCCTTTAGCTATTTGCTTCCCTGAAATTTGAAGACATCAAACGTCTTTGTAAAACTGAAGCATAGGTGAGGTGGAGGGAGGGAAAAATTGTACTCAATTACCCCTGGAGAGAGAACAAGAATGAATCTACTTGTTTGTTTTTTCTTTCTAATGGAACGACAGTTACCCAAGCTCAGCATTTTTTACTAAAAGAAACCCACAAAAACATAAAAAAACCAACAACAGCCTGGCAAAATGAGGAAATGGAGAGAGCTGCAAGGGAAGCGGAGTTGGACACTGTCTGGTACCCACGCCGCTGGGGTTCTGGGCTAGGCAGATGTCTGTCGGTCTGTCTGCCTGCCTGCAAGCCCAGTTCCGTTAGGAGGCCACCTTCTATATTTGAGACGGGCTGTTTGACATCAAGCTGTGGTGACATTCAATGCAGCTCTCCTGAGACTGTAGTCTCCAACATACAGATGAAGGAATCCGCTACTATGTCGCCTATTTACATTCAAAACACGAAATCATTTCATTAAAAATGTATTTTATTAATTTTTTACAGAGGAAGGGAGAGGGAGAGAGAGTCAGAAACATCAATGAGAGAGAAACATCCACCAGCTTCCTCCTGCACACTCCCTCCTGGGGATGTGCCTGCAACTAAGGCACATGCCCTTGACTGGAATCGAACCCAGGACCCTTCAGGCTGCAGGCTGACGCTCTATCCACTGAGCCACACCAGCCAGGGCCATTTCCTTTTTTAAGCACACTCTACTATATCACACTTTCTTTTGATTGTTAGTCCTCAAATAGAAGCTTTTGTTTCCAAGCTCACAGTTTATCTGCAGCACTTAGCAAGGTCAATGTGTCTCTCTCAGATAGATGTTTCTCTCTCTTTCCCCCTCCCTCTCTCTTATGCTCTCTGAAGAGAATGGAAAGCTGGACCTTGAGAACATTACGCGAAGTGAAATAAGTCAAACAGAAACAGCCAGGAACTATATGATGCTTGCACTCCTATGTGGGATATAAAACTGAAACTCGTGAACACACACAGCGGCGTGGTGTTGCCAGAGGGAGGGGGTGGGCGAGAAGGGGGTCCTAACATGAGGGGACAGGGGAAGACCTGGCTTTGGGTGGTGGGCACACGTTCCTATGTACAGAGTTTGCACATGAGTAATCCATACATGAAACCTGTATGTTCATGTTGACTAATGTATTAGTGACCCTTCAGTCTGCAGGCCGATGCTCCATCCACAGGCCTACGTAGAAGACACAGGCAGGCTTTATTTTGCCTTCAATCAAACCTTCTGAAATAGTGCACTTTCAAATACCACATCTGTGAGTTTGCCCAACTGTGAGAAATTTCACTGTAATATAAACTTCCCCTTAAAAAACAACACTGAAAACATTGTCTAAAAAGGTTAAAAACCTCATTTCCTAATGTGCTTTACATATGGAAGCATCCACAACAACTGTTGAATAACATTTATACTAAATGAATATCCCACTAGTCATCTGCTGCTTTAAAAGCAGACATTTACACTGGGAATGCCATCTACTGTTTTATTTAATCACTGATGCAATGCTTATTATGATGTGGCCTTTGCTTTGCTTAGGTAAACGCCAAGCATGTGTACAGGGGCCGGAGCAAAACTCAGTTTCTGTCGTGGGAAGTTAAAAGAGACCCAAGCAGAGGCGGCCTGGCAGAAGTGGTTGGATGAGATGATGTCGGAGGGGCCCCAAAGA